CACACATTGTGTTCTTTACAAAAATAATTCAATTCGTCTTCAAAAGACGCATAGGTGTCAAAAATGCTGCCAACCTCCATTTTTATAAAAGAAAGCGCGGCAAACTTTTCGATTATTAAGCCTCTGGTTTGGATCATGTTTTTTTTTCGATTACTAAGACTTTCGGGTGCGAATAGTCATTGGCGATGATGGGTACTCGGGTACCTATAGCCACTTCGTTATCTTAAATAGCCCAATAAAATTATAAACATAAGAGTATTCTTACTTGCTTTTAGCTCTACGTCACATTGTTCTTTATGAAAGTCTTCAAAATATGGCACATTTCTCGATTGATAATAATGGCTCCAAGATGGCAAACCAACAAGAAGTATCCGTCATAACCATTACGTGACCAACCAAATAAGACCTCATGTGACCAGCTGGGTCCGAATAGCCATATGCTGCTATAGGTACCCGGATATCTATAGCCACTACTATATATATATATATATATATATATATATATATATATATATATATATATATATATATATATATATACTGTCAAAATATAAACACATAGATTTGAATATATATATACAGATATATATATACATATATATATATACAAAAATATATATATATATATATATATATATATATATATATATATATATATATATATATATTTATATACATGCTGTCAAAACTTAAACACTTGGATTTGAATATACTTTTAAAGCACAACTAGACAATACAATTACCACATATGGATGGATGGATATTCTGAAAGGAACGAATTTGCTAGGCATGCCAAAGACCTACAAGGGCCGTAGTGCCAGAGGGATGAAAGGGTGGTCTAAATGGGAGGAAGTTGTGAGGCACAGAGAATAAAACTTATTCCGCTTAATTTTATTTCAAAAAAGCGTATGCCTGCTAAAAATACTTTGTTGGAGAATTTTTCAATAAACAATTGTGGAACAAAGTGACCACTGTTTAAAAAGCCCACTTGAAAGCGGACTTTATCGAAGACGGTATTTACCTGTTCGACCTCCCATGTATTGATCTGGCCGCACATGTATTGATTGGCGCGGTTCATTTATTTGCTTTCAAAACTCGTATTCAAATGACATCGTGGATTAGCAGCAAACAGTATCTATCCACATTTGATGATAAATCAGTTATTTGGCGAGTTACGTATACGTTCTTCAAAGAGTCACGGCACATTGGAGTCAGGGCAGGCTAACTTGACCAGGCAACTCGGGCAGTTGCCCGGGGTGTCATGGGCTGAGGGCGCCATAAACGATTTGCCAAATTAGGTAAAAAGCATGGAAAATGATATTGCAAAGAATATAAATTCAGAAATTGCATTAAAAAGATTGGATGAAATAAAGGATAGGGGGGAAAAATGCCATCAGCCGGCTAAATGTAAATACTGTCGATATAAGTTAAGAAAAAAAATATTATTGTTCATTGTAATTTAAAAAACAAACTCTACATAATCAACTCAAACTACTAGTCTTTTCCTTCCAAAAGTGTTGATGATAATCCTTAAAAGGTACGCCAGAGTAAAGCGTGCCCGAGTTACCAGAAACCATGGGGCCGACCCTGATTTGAGTATTTGTGTTAGTTTTATTTCGGGAATGTTTCTTATGGGACATATTCAGTAATTAAATTTTAATATGTTTTGTTTCACATGTGAAATGAAAAATCTACAACCATACAAAAATTACACATTCTTATAATGATCCTAAATGATTGGGGAAAAAAAAACATTTAGAAGAACTATCACCAGATTATTTATCAATAAACATCTGAATGGGCTAAAATTAAACAAAAAGTAATGTCTAAAAACAATGATAATTTCTAACTTAAGGTCACAATAATAATTGCTACCATAGGGTCACATGATAATGTCTACCTTAGGGTAACAATGATAAAGTTTACCTTTGGGTCACTGTGATAATGGCTATCGTGCTGTCAATAAATGAAACATACATAAATATAAACAACGAAGTGGCTATTCGTACCCGGGTACAAGAAGTGAGAGGTTGGGTTTAAAAAACGATTTAAAATTTTATTTTTGGGTTTGTAAGACCAAATGAGGTATCAAATGAAAGATAATTGAAAGGACTATATGTTTGTAAACTTATTTCTTCATTTTAACTAAAATAAACTACCACAAATGACATCCGAATATCCTGAGACTAATGGTACCCGGGTGCGAATGGCGGCGCTGCATGTCTGGGTCCATTTTGACTCGGTGTTATTCGGATGTTACTTGTGGTAGTTTATTTTATTTAAACTGGAGAATTAAGATTACAAACATATAGTTCATTCAATTATCTTTCATTTGATATCACATTTTGCCTTACAAACCCAACAATAAAATTTTAAATCGTTTTTTAATCCCAACCTCACACTTCTAGTACCCGGGTACTTTAGAGACGTTAAATATCCACCCCAACCCCTTAGAAAGTCCGGCCCTGTTGCTGCGTGAGCAGCAATCCGGCTGGCCAGGTGTTTCTTCTCTGGGGCTGCCACACTCAGCGGCCAATCGAGTGGAGGTCGAGTGTGGCGGTCTTNCAATCCGGCTGGCCAGGTGTTTCTTCTCTGGGGCTGCCACACTCAGCGGCCAATCGAGTGGAGGTCGAGTGTGGCGGTCTTAGGGGCGGAGCGTCCCTGGCGTGCCGCTTCGCGGCCCGATCGGAATAAAGACCACTGGGGGAGTGGTTGACGGCCGGTTTGGTTGGCGGGGTGGTGCGTTGGGGAGGACCATATGAGCCTCAAGGCTCGGTGTTCGCTGATTTTCTTAAGTTAGTTAGTTAGTACCCGGGTACTAATAGTTGCAGTCTATAAACAATGTGTTTTGCGTGACACGAGTAATGTCCCCCCAAAAAACAGACCTGGTTCCAATAAAAAAAAACAAGAGTTGCGTATAGTGTTGTCCTTGACAAATATCTAAAACTGAAGTGAATGAAATTTGACTAATCCTAAAACACGTTTCAATTCAATGGATTACGACGCCCTTGCGCAGAACAAATATTCATCAACAACCAGGCCCTTCATGTTCAAGAGAGTTTTCTAGGAGAAAATTATTACGGGACATTGAAATTATTGTTTCACCGGAATCGAATTCAATGCTTTAATGGAGTTGATCCGAAGATGGTTTATCTTGAATTTTCAATGAGCCCTTTGTAGTTCTGTTACAATTGTCTACAAGCCATTTGTAGATCTGTTAAAATGATCACTACTTTCAAATTAACACCGCTTAAAATAACTATACATATATATAATTAATTCTAAAAATTCTCTGGCACCAAGCAAAGGGTGGGAGGGGGGATGCCAGTAGTTTCAATGTTTGTTTTTTAAAGGTAAAATATCTTTTTAGAGTGCTGAAAAATATGGAGTGGGCGAGGGGTGGGCAAGGAAAGTAGGCGTAGAGCGTCGAGAGTAATGGGAGAGTGGCTAGAGCGGATATGGGAGAGGCTTCAGACATATCAATAGTTGTTTTAGGTCAGTGGTTCTTAAATTGGGTTCAATCGAGGTCCCCCAAAAAAAATCAGAAAATTTTTTTTTTTATATTAACCTATTAAGAAGAGTTCAGTGAATGCGCATGTCAAACTGGTGGGGGCTTGGTACCTCCAACAAGGTTAAGAAGCACTGTTTTAGATTTTAGATTTAGATTGATATTTTATGCGATTAGGAGGATACTGATGTCCTAATGGGATTTAGTCCAAAGGGAACCGCACACGCATCGCTGTGATTCGCACCCGGGGGGTCCCATTAGAGTCAATGCTATTCGGATGTCATTTGTGGTAGTTAAATTTAGTTAAAATGAAGAAGTAAGTTTACAAACATAGGGTAAATTCAATAATCTTTCATTGCTATTCGGATGTCATTTGTGGTAGTTAAATTTAGTTAAAATGAAGAAGTAAGTTTACAAACATAGGGTAAATTCAATCATCTTTCATTGCTTTTCGTATGTCATTTGTGGTAGTTAAATTTAGTTAAAATGAAGAAGTAAGTTTATAAACATAGGGTAAATTCAATCATTTTTCATTTGATACCTCATTTTGTCTTACAAACCCAACAATACTATTTTACACTAGATGTAGCCGCCCAAACATTGGCGACAGCAATGCGTCAACTTCCCATCTACTAAAGTTACTTGAAAAAGAAGCGATCTCAAGTTACGCACATTTAAGAATGCCAATTTTGCTACCCCCATTCCCCCCCCCCCCCCCCCCCACACCCTTTTTTCATGATACATGACCCGCGGCTTAGCAGACGCCGCGAGCTTGGCTGGCAAGCGAGGGTGGTGCAGTGGGGGGGGGGGGCGGTAGCTCCACAGCAGTGCGCATGTCAAGACCAACGATGGGCAGGCAAGGCACGGTCAGGGAAGGGAGGGTTTCCCTGCGTCTTGCTTGCTATCTATATATAGCCTGCGTGGACGTCTTGTTGTTTGACCTGCGTCTTGTTGTTTGCCCTACTTCTTCTGGCGAATTATATATATATATATATATATATATATATATATATATATATATATATATAATATATATATAAATAGTTCTTTTAATTCCAACCTCTCACTTCTGGTACCCGGGAGCGAATGGCCACTTCGTTTTCCAATTTTTAAAAATGTTTTTAGTAATGAGACAGAACAAGCCCCTGCCAACCGTGCATGTTTCAAGTGGTTTTTACATAGCTGGCGTAAAAAGAAACAAAACGATTTTTTTTTCATTCTTTAATGAGGATTGCGATAAAATTAAATACATTATAAAAGATGCATTGAAAGCAAAGTGTACATGGGAAAATTGGATGGTGGGTTATAAAAAAACAACCCATAAATAATTTTGAAAACTTTCCAAAACTTAAATGAGATAGCTTAACGAGTTATATTCTACCCGCACATCTAACATAAGGGCCTCTCACAGATGTAGGAGTTGAGACCTGAACAAGGGTCATCGTTAATGTCCGTAGCGTAAGGGTTAATGACCGCACAGTCCTCACTGCCAGCCCAGTTGTCCGGTTGTCCGGGGTGGAATATAGACGCCCTTAACGAGCTATTAATCTCTTGACCACTGTCCACCCACACGAATCTGCCTTCTACGGCGATGTCGTCCAGACCAATGTAGACCTTGTGAGTGATGTTGATGATGGATCTCACCAACCAATATTTCTCCGCGGTGTACGCTACGAACAGATGTGCGTTCAGGCGCTCACAGGCCGCACTTGCGTCAGCGTAGTTCAGCGGCGGATCGTAAAAGTAGGCGACGTTGGCTTTGGTGGGGCCGTTGGACAAGATGCTAAGAGGATAATCAAAAAAAATAAATGTTCTGCATTTACATTTCTACACATTTAAAGGAAGGGGGGAGGTAGGTCGGGTACTGAAAACTATAGAAACATATTTGGACTAAGTTTCTTTTTGGGTATCGTATATGTAGGAAAAATAAATATCTGAAAATGGACCCATCGATGTTAAATAATAAAATAAATATTTTTTGAAATTTTCTTATATTTTCATTTACGGGTTTAAAATCTTGAGGATTCGGTAATAATAATAATTATGTATTGACTTAGAATTTAAAAAAAAACAACATAGATCATGCAATGAGATTGAAACAACATTTAATGATGAAATGATAAAAAGCATTGCAATATGCATTCAAGCACGTGTAGCGTTTACATTTCTTGTTCACTCGCCAAGTTGAAAAATGTTTTTATTAAAAATAAGGCCTTTTATATTCCAAGTAAACCCATTGAATCGCACGATATACGGTAGACAGCGAAAAGGTCATGGAAATGCTACAATTTCACGAGAGTTTAGTGTCAAATGAAAGTTTAGACCAATTTTCTGGAATGTCACCGTTACCATTAATATAGCTTCTTTTTTTTTTACCGTGACGAGGCCATAAGACAAACAATGTCATAAAGGCGTTAGAGAATTTAGTCCAAAAGATATTCTTGTTGATCAACAAAGTCCGGAAAATGCATACATTACCATAATTTCTGTCTTTGAAAAGAAGGACAATAAATTATTTTAGCAATTGTCAATACAACTGAACAATATCCTACGCTAATGGATATTTAAAACATGTCATTATTTAAAAAAAAACCTCCTTTTTCATATCTCCTTAATAAGAAATTTATAAATGTTTTTTTTTTCAATATATATTTCAAACACACTAATTTTTCATGGTATATTAATTAATAGTAACAGGGTGTGTGGCGTTAATCCGAAATAATCAATGAATTTCGAAGATATATGTTAGAACAACATAAGTGGTCAACGGAGTCAAGCGATTAACCATGCAATATTGAGAGACAAGATTGTATTATTGGTTCGCGAGGATGGTTAGGTTTCGAAACGTAGAGAAGCTATACAGAGTAGTACTAGGGGGGTGACAGGGGAAGGGTTTGGCTAATGAAGAAGTCTATGATGAGGAAGAGACGCTAAACGGAGTGTACTAGGGAGATGACAGGGAAATGGTTGAGTTTAGAAAGAGGTCTATGAAACTTTTATACTGGATAATAAATGAATAAATGCGCTCAAGCAATGTGAAAGAAATAACGAAAGCTTGAAATATAAAGACAGAAAAATAAAAGAAGAAAGGACAGATAAAGTGGGGGGGGGGGGGAATTAAACTCATTTTTTTAAAATTTGGCCTTGTTGAATGTATACAGAAATAAAGAAAAAACGAAAGAAAGGAAAAAAAAGAGAGAAAAAAAAAAGGAGAAAGGGCAGATAAAGGGGGGGGGGGGGAATTAAACTCATTTTTTTAAAATTTGGCCTTGTTGAATGTATACTATTAGAGCTTTAACTCAGAAACATTTGGGATAAAAATATACCCCCTAAACGAAAACAATAAAATCAAATTCTATTTTTAAATTCAGTTTCAAATTAGAATATTTTTTTTTTGTTTAACTCACCTAAAATTTGGATGTGAAAAAGATTCGTAGCTGTCATTGACGAAATAGTTCTCTTCGTCTACCGTTGGTAGCGGCTGCTCAGGGCTTCGTCCAGATGTCGGTGTACAATGTCCGGTATTTATATTATAAATAAAACCAGTGCAGTTGGAAAACCTGGAAATAAATCGATTTAGTTATTAAAATATATTATCTAATTGCATTGAAGAGCTGAGGGAAGGTTTGAGGTGAGGTTTGAGGTGAGGTTTGAGGGGAGGTTTGAGGGGAGGTTTTAGGGGAGGTTTGAGGTGAGGTTTGAGGTGAGGTTTGACGGAAGGTTTGAGTGGTGGTTTGAGGGGAGGTTGAGGGGAGGTTGAGGGGAGGTTTGAGGGGAGGTTGAGGGTGGAGGTTTAGGGGAGGTTGAGGGGAGGTTGAGGGGAGGTTGAGGGGAGGTTTGAGGGGAGGTTTGAGGGAAGGTTTGAGGGGAGGTTTGAGGGGAGGTTGAGGGGAGGTTTGAGGGGAGGTTTGAGGGGTTTGGGTGGGCGGAATGGGGTTTCCAAGATCTAATAGTTCCCCGGTTATAGCTTTTTAAAAAGGTAAATTAACTTCTTATTGCTTTTTATAAAAAAATTATTTCAATTATCTTTTAAAATTATTTCATCCTTATAATAATTTTAAATATTAAAAAATTCATTATTTTAACTGTTACAAAAAGATATTCTGTTTAATCAGTGTTTTAATATTCACATTAAAAAATATGTGTATATTCAAAACTAGTCGGCTGTGTTTCGATTCTTGCATTACCTGGTCAAACATGTGGCAGCGCAAGATAACCTAGACTTGTCCAGCCAGGGTGAAGCCAGCCGAAGTGGACCACAGTTCTGAGGGGCTACCTGGGTAAATTGCATCGACTTGTTAGTTCCTGCTGACCACGTCATTCCTGTATAGAGAATGAGAACCGCTGAAAAGGAAAACAAAAAACAAACTGTTTGCTTAAAAAAAAAAAGAACATAAAAAAATAAACACGTTTCCTTTTAGTCAACGATCGCCATTGTCCGATGTTTTTTCCTCTGTCGTTTGTATCTTCTAACTGTTAATCAGACAACTATTTGAAGTTTAAAACCGTCTATAATAGGCTGACATTATTATTATTATTCACAAAGTAAATGAAGTTTGAAACCGTCTATAATAGGATGACATTATTATTATTATTCACAAAGTAAATAATAATAAATAATATCACGATAACGCTAAAGATAACAAAATATTATTAAGACTTAACATTCAGCTTACCGTAAACAATAACTGGGTACGTCATTCTGTGTGTTTTTTTATTTTAAAGATTATTAAATATAAACGTTTTAATGTCTCTGGTGTTAAATTTTTTTTTTTAAATGATTGATAATCTGCCAACTATAGATTACGACGGCATGTACTGCTTGCAACTATTATTTCTCAAGCGTAATGTATAATAAAAGTGCAGACCTAAAAATGTATGGTCTGCTTGCCACAATGGTAATACAAAAAAAAAATGAGTTTAATTCTTTTATAACACGACGCGTAATTACGCTATTGAAAAAAAAAAGGAAAAAAAATAGATCGTTTTGTTCGTTGAGACCATTGTTTGCGCCTGGTATTGTCCGACACGGAGAAACTTTTGTCACAGAACTTGTATTCAATTTTTGCGTATTTATTCTCTAAGTGTATAGCTATATTTTTAGATTTAAAAAAAGAAAAGTGTTCAGTTTAAGACTGTTGGGAGGTGGGAGTGGAGTTTCAGCACGTTCTGGGCAAGCCATTGAATGAATCCAGGGCCGTGCAAGAGTAGGATGAGGTTCAGTAGGTAGCCCCCCCCCCGGGGCATCTACACCCCGAGGGCGCCAAAATTGTGTATAACATGCAATTTGATATAAACAAATTTGTTTTTACAAATACGGGGAGATATAAAAACAAACTTTCTAGGCTGTAAATTCTTGAGCGCGTTAACTCTACAATTATTATTAAAGGAATAAACATTTTGCTACGATTTTAAACAAAATATATTATATATGAACTATTTAATATTAAACCATATTCCAGCCGATTTATTATTACAATGTGGTTACGTCTTTGACAAAAATTGTTTCAAGCTAAGAAGAAAATGTGTGATACCCATCGCTATCCAACAATATCTCTCATTTTATATGAAGTGTTCAAATTTGTATTCATCAAATGTGTCCATAGCGTTAATCCGTCTGAACTGATTGAAAAGCGTTAGTTTCAACAACAAACAAACAAAAGTTAAATGCGGCAAACAATATTTATCAAATAATCAGCTACAAAGACAACCTATCGAAACAGATATCGATAAACCAACAGGCACTTAGGCGAGGCAGACATGTCCGTGAAAAGTTTAAAACAAAGCAAGACGTGTTTTCCAATGAGACACGTGTTCTCAAGTGAGACAAAAAGCTGTACAGTGAGCTGTTCTAATTCCACGTTTTGAAATAGATTAAGTCAATAGACATGTGACCGCGTATGCTGTCTGAATGAAATCAAAACTCTTCATTTATTCATGTGAGTTAATATGATCTGGTGAAAATGTACATGTGATTGAATAAAGATCGATAAACAATCGGGAATTGATATGTTAAAAAAACAACTGATGCAACGATTGACATTATTTACATCAAACAGATGATTTGGGAATTATGCTGTCTTTGACTATGTTGCATTTATATTTTTTTGTTCATACCAATAAACTTGATGCCATAAGACATAACTTAATGTGTAATCATTGTTAATTTAACGTTTATCTTTATCTTGAATGTTTAACAATTTAAAACTTACCACGTGACGAATGACGTCACTTTTGGTCACATTAAATTTTTTTTGTAAATTATATTTACCCAGTGATTCTGTTGTTTTCCTACCAGAGGTGTCATTCGGAATTATTATGATTTTTAAATCTTGACTTAAGTCTCTCACTTCTGACACCGATGCATACTTTTGGCGCCACATTGCACGCTACAGTAAGTTTTTTCTTGTTCTTAACATGTAGTGCACATACCTGTATCGCATGCTATTGAGAATGCCAAATGATCTTATGTTTAAAAACCACACTATTTAAGTATATTAATAGTTTTCTAATTGATTTATTTTGTCATTGACATTTTTTCTATTCTTTTATCGATGACGAAATACCATCGTCCTTGAATGCTTTCGTTAAAGATAGTTGGACCTGGTTAGGAACGTGTTGTAATCTGTTGACCGAATTCGTGCCACTAGACGTTTCATGGTAGGCCAGGGCGGTGGGAGAGCCCTAAGTGAAGACTATATTATTTATAGCACAGCTCAGCACATGGAGCTGGTAGCCCATGTACCAGCCGGGGTCGTAAAAGCGTAATCTCAAACTCTCCGTTAGTTAGTAACATTTTGCCAATGTACTGGTATGGTTATATAGCAATTTTTTCTTTCATTAAATAATTGTATTGAAAAAATCCTAACGGTCGGTTACCATATAGAGATAACTCCAATTGCGTTACACGTTAAAATGGTCAGTTTATTACTTTTTAATGGAGCTGGAATGACTTTCTCAACATTTCTCTCATTGGCTTCTCTTGTCTGCTGGATGTCTACCGTGTCAGATCTCAATGAGAAGTTGCCGGATTGATGCTATCTGGAGTTACTCAGACAGCGATGTTGGTTGTCTTAAGTTACTCAGACAGTTGTGTTGGTTGTCTTCAGTTTGTCAAACAACGGTGTTGTTTGTGTAATTTACTATCCATTTAAAATGCATTGAAGGACATTAAAATGAATTTTTTTTAAATGTTTTAAATATAAATTAGTAAAGATTTGAAAAATGTATAATTCTTTAACTATAACGTGTAAGGTTTTTAAGCACTGCATAGTCATGTGGTATAATCTAATATTTCAAGGTTTAAAATCTCCTGCATTTTCCCATATTTAAAAAGGATTAAATGTATGGTATTTATATTTTAATTGTAATAAGCGAATCCGAGTTCCAGGTCTTTTTGCTCCAGGCTTCACATCAACAGTCAACCTTCTGTTATTACGATGTAATATATCCCCCCCCCCCTTTCTGACCGACAAACACGATCCTGCTGGCAGCCTTCTACGGCTTGACATGTAAAATTTCTGGGGTGGGTGGGGTATATATACACATTTGTTGTTGTTTTGTTGTTATACAGCTGTTCTTTATTGCATAATGTATTTTTTTATGTCATGATCATGACTCTTTTGCTGATATTTTTTAGCACAGTGCGGTGAGCCCAGCACTAGGCTGGGGTTCCACGCTATATAAGACCAGTAATAATAATAATAAATTATTATTATTTTTTTTAAAAAAAAGCTATCTGAAATATTTTTTTTAAAAAATCCATTTTTTTTAAAATATGTTAGTGTCAAATCTCTTTTTAAATGGCTGAATGAAGTCTTATCTTCAAAGAGCAATTTTGTTTATGTCTGTATGTCAATTTGCGTTTAATATTAAAGCAATAAATTTGAAACATCATACGTAGCAGTCTGTGTTGTGTACGTCTGAATGTATCTTTGCGATCAATATTGAAGCTGTGAACTTAGTTCATGACATATAACTTAGCTGGTGGTGTATTTTTATAGATAGTTAATATAGATTACACAGTTCGACACGATCTGGCGTCCACTAACTAGACATTATGTATCGCATATAACAGATGTGATGATACATGGGTTAAGGTTTTGAACACAGGACGCTACACATCCTGAAGACAGCGCATACAGCCTACAGCTGTTAATATAATGATGTACACACAGCTTTAACTCTCTAAAAGGAACTTTAAATATATATATTTCCGTACTATCTATTCACATACTATCTATTCCCATAATATCTATTCCCTTAATTACAAAAGTAACCAACTACGTGGACTTCATTGTCCATCCTGGCTTTCCTAAGCATTGATCGATGGCATGGGCAAACTTCGTGTTCTTGAGAATCAATACAAAAAACATTTATTCAAACGATACCCGGGAGTCTTAGTGAGGAGTCCAGTGAAGGGGTTTCTTATCACCTGAAAATTGATCGCAATATTCATTGAAATGATTAGGACAATTCAGACCGTTAGAAAGTCTAGTTGAACTTGTTTTTAACAAAAAAAATGTGTTACTATAAAATGAAGAGGATTTGTATGTGGTTGAATGGGATTATGGTTAGGACGGATGCACGTATATATCATGAATATTATATGTCTAATAATCGATATGACATAACATATGAGGGCTTCAATCTGTCAGTGGTTCACATACCTTGAGTCCCATATCTCTAGCTCACTTTCCGCGGATGAAGGGGTGAGCATTATGATCGCAAAAGCAGATGCAACTGTGGCATAATTGAATAAGTGAGTGTAGTTACTATTCTAGTGTCTCTGGTTTTTCATTTTTATTTTACTTTAACAGTTTAAATAGGTTACATGTTTTTAATAATTGTAAAGCGCTTAGAGCTGTAAGGTAAGCGCTATATAAAAATGCCTAAATAAATAAATAAATAAATAAACTCACTGAAAGAAAAAAAAAGAGCTTCTATCAGGCATGTGTGCCTAGTACGCTGCTACATGACAGTGAAGTGTAGACCGCAAATGCCAATCGTGAGCGGAAACTCAACACCGCCACCAAGGATGCCTGCGGCGCATTTTGCTAACTCGATGGCAAGACAAATTTCCTATCAGAAGTCTTGCAGCATGGTCTCCGCTCTTAGCAAGAGGTGCCCTCACTGGTTAGGGCTTGTAAAGAGAATGGAGGAAGGTCGTGTTCCAGAGCACCTACTGTATGGTAGTTTGGCAGAAGGAGCAGGACTCATTGTGGGTCCGAGGACGTCTACGAAAGGAAAATGAGGGAAGCCACCATCAAAATCGGTGAATAGGAACTCATGGATTTTCACCATCTGAGCAAGAGAACCTGCAGTGTAAAAAAAAAAGGGGGGGGGGAGGGGAGTGTCAAAAAGGAAAAGGATTAGCAAAACAAAGATTTCGAAAACAAAGCATATTTCCTTTTGGCCAAAGTCAAACAGAAGTCAATGATATACAAATACTAATAATTATATGCATAATCAATGAATATATTTATAAATTTATAGCTAAAATAGTCCATGAATAGAGTGGAGGAATTCAACTAATTTAAAAATCATGTCATTTCTTTAGTATTAAACAAACATGTATCGAATAGTAGATTATTATGTCAAACGTTAGAAACTTTATTAAGAAAAATAAAGAAATAGCTATACCAAACAAGATTATGTTTTAAAAAGATAGATTAAAATAGGAAAAGATGAGTAAATTATATTTGTGTTCCCACCACGGGTTGTTGCACAGAAAACTCGAGGTATTAGAGAAACCCTATTAGCCAGTGGCAATTTTTACCACTGGTTTCCCGAGCTAAACATAAACAAAGTGTAAGGTATCAGGACAATTGTGTTTACCAGCTATGTTTTTCCGTCTAGCTGAACACATGTATTGATTGATTTATGCGATTACTCGTTGATTTTTTATTTTTTTTTATCGATAACACTGCTAGCTATTAATAGTCGCGTGTTTATCCGTTTCTGCTTTTGAAGTGTGTTCAATAATGTATATTATATGTAAGTTCATACGGTAGTACGTCGATTATACGAAGTAATTATGGCTGCGTTGTTCTGTACAATCTTTTTCGAATAACCGAACACTTCCACAGCTGGTTGAGTTTAGACATTTTGTATCGTTCTATACAGTGTATTTATGTATGTTAAGAATCTAAGATACATCGGGGTCAGCTGATTGATATAAAAAAATACGCGCTCCTCCTTCCCGCGAAAAGAGGTTATATAAAAAAAAAGATTTTATGGCATACAATTGAATTTATAGTCGCTTTGTTTTTACATTCGTGCACTCTGCGATATATATTTTTTCATACGTTCTCAGAATCACTATCAAAGTCTGGTCACTGTATGTTTCATACGTATGTAGTCAGGGGCGGCACATGGCGTTTACCATGCGTAATCATCAGACAGGCGCAAAAAATGTGCTAAAAGAAATATTTTAAAAATGTTCAACTCTTCCCATAATTTTCCAGAGGACGACAAATGCCTATTTTTTTCGCCCAATCTAAAAAAAGTCCAGCGCTGGCCTTGGATGTGGATGTTACGTGGATTGTACGCCATGGGTAGACGTTGGTTCCAGTGTTTATTTTACGAATGGCGGTGTTGAATGACATGCGCAAGGTGCAGTATACTAGATCTTCTAAGGATTGTTGCAATAGCTGGTATTACGATTCCCTAGTGTTTGAAAAAATGAGAATCTTACGGTATTTCTATTTTTTTTTAAAGAAAATCTATTCCCAGGAACACCATTGATTTTTTTTATTTTTCATTTCTATTTTAGTACAAATAACATATCGGGCTTTGCCGAAAATATAGATTCCTCCTCACTTCAGTACTGTAAGATCAATCCAAGCCTTGTGATTCATTATAACAGTATTAGATGTAACATTTTCAAGGTAAATTGTAAACAGATTTTTTTTTGCTTGTTGAAAATATAAATAGTTTAAGTTTTTATAGTCCACATAAGTTTGTATTCAATAGATTAACGTCTAAATGGTGTCTCATAGATTTATTGATTTTTTTTCTGTCTTGCTTGGGTGTTGATCGATTGATCTGTGAAAATTGCAACACCGATGACAACATTAAAAAAAAACTCTCGACGTGTCTCTGAATATTGACAGCGACTTTAAGTGAAGAGTGTGCTAGAGGGTGGTAAGAATATTAAAGCAACCACCCCAACCAAACACACAGACCTAACCAACCAAACAAACCAACCCAACCAAGCCAACCATCCTAACCAGCCCAACTAACCCAACAAACCTAACCATTGTAACCAAACCAACCACCCTAACCAGCCCAATCAAACGAACCATCCTAACCAGCCCAACCAAACCAACCACCCTAACCAGCCCAACCAAACCAACCATCCTAACCAGCCCAACCAAACCAACCATCCTAACCAGCCCAACCAAACCAACCATCCTAACCAGCCTAACCAAACCAACCATCCTAACCAAACCAACCATCCTACCCTGCCTAATCAAACCAACCATCCTAACCAGCCCAACCAAACCAACCAACCCTAACCAACCCAACCAAACCAACCATCCTAACCAGCCCAACCAAACCAACCATCGTAACCAGCCCAACCAAACCAACCATCCTAACCAGCCCAACCAAACCAACCATCCTAACCAGCCCAACCAAACCAACCATCCTAACCAGCCTAACCAAACCAACCATCCTACCCTGCCTAATCAAAACAACCATCCTAACCAGCCCAACCAAACCAACCACCCTAACCAGCCCAACCAAACCAACCATCCTAACCAGCCCAACCAAACCAACAACCCTAACCAGCCTAATCAATAATTAAACCAACCGTCCTACCCTGCCTAATCAAACCAACCATCCTAACCAGCCCAACCAAACCAACCAACCCTAACCAACCCAACCAAACCAACCATCCTAACCAGCCCAACCAAACCAACCATCCTAACCAGCCCAACCAAACCAACCACCCCAACCAACTCAACCCAACTAACCAACCCAACCAACCCAACAAGCCAAAACATCCCAACCAACCCAACCACGTTATCAGCTTAACCAACCCCTGCACCGTAACCAACCGAACCAACCACCATAACCAGCCAAGCCAGCCCAACCAGCCAAAACACCTCAACCAACACAACCAGTGGAACCACCTTAACCAGCCCCAAAAATGAATGTTTTGTTTAAGAAATTCCTGGAAATGTTTAGCTACGTGGATTGTTTTTTTAAAAAATCTTATTTAACCACGTATGTTCATTTGTCAAATTACTTTATAGTTATTTCAATGTTTTGTTCTTATACTGTTGAAGGCATGTGCCGAAAAGTCTTTTTTGTGTATTTTGTAAAAAATATTATTAAAGCTTGACATATATTGTTATTTTGGCACATATTGTTCGTGTCTATATCAATCTTTTTTTTTTTTTTAAATGTTATCGCAGTCTAACACTTTTATCATTTGTGGAATGTTGATTATTTTTGCACAGGCGCATGTGAAAACATGGCTGCGATAACCTCGGAACCTAATTCTCCCTTTCAACAACACAACAAAAAAATTTTGGATCAATTAAAACCCGGAGATCTGCTTAAATTCAAACGTGGCATATATTACCATTGGGCAGTCTATATTGGTAAGTGGAAATATATATATATGTATATATATATTTGCTGTGTATAAATAAATAAATATATATATATATATATATATATATATATATATATATATATACCTAATATATTTATTTCTTTCAAATGAAAACCACAATACCGTTTTATTAACAGAAAAAAACCAGTGGTTCAATTGTTTGTGTCCAGCATATTGATGAGAACTCTGAACGAGATAACAAATAACCATGTCTTGCATATTTTCTAGTATATTATTTTAATGATTATCGAATGATGGTCGATTTCTGTTTGTTTGTTGTTGTTGTTTTTTTTTTTGTTTTTTGTTTGTTTTTGTATGACCCAAAAGCAGAGTGCAATATCAGAAATACGTTTTGTGACACCTTAGCTACACATTATCTTTAAAAAAAAATGTGGCCTAATTAGTGTGTGTGTCAGGGACGACATAGTTCTTTGCTTTGTTGATGATGAGATTCTTTCCGTGTAGGATAACGCCCTCTGGAGCAAATACCTGCGAATAAATGTCATTACGATATTCATTAAATATAGGGTTATTTATGATCAAACATACAATGTTGAGAATGCTTACCTTTTTCATTTAAAATTGTTTACCTCTAGATGTTAGCCGAGAGAGAAAGTGTGTACAAGAGAGAGAGAGGGGGGGGAGAAAGAGATAGAGAGAGAGAATAAGAGAGAAAGAGCTAGAGAGAGAGAGAAAGAGGGCCAAGGTGAGCAAAAGAGGAGACATAGTCTTTTTTTTTTTTTTAAACAGGCAGAACTAGCTTTAAATAATTGTAGGTGTAATTGTGTCTATGCTAAACTTTGTTATTTGTTCTTTCCTTTTTGTATTCAATTTTGTATATTTTTTTTCTGTGGAAAGTGAGAAAGTTTTTTTTTTTTTTAAATTTATAAATATAATGACTCCTGCTTGGCTATAATTACAGGTAAGGGCAAGGTCATACATGTGACTGGCCGAGATGGCCAAGGCATGAAACAGAGCAAGGACGGCAGTGATATCACAGCTCTGTGCAGCGTGCCCCAGGATAAGGCCGACGTGATGGAGGCAGACTTTTGGGATGTCGCGGGCGAATCTAAGGCTGAGGTTGGAAACATGAAGGACGAAGGCTGGTTGTAAGTGCATGAGACAGACACCTTAACTGAGTCAGCCACACAGGGGTATTCTTAATGCTGCTCATCTCTTAATGTTTATGGCAGATGGTAGATTTTTAACTCCATCCATGCCCCTGGAGCCAGGTCATGGCAGATTAGGCATACGCTTATCGTATTACAGAATACATGGTAGAGTAGGCATACACTGGTCATATTGAAGAATACATGGTAGCGTAGGCGTACACTGGTCGTATTAAAGAATACATGGTAGCGTACGCATCGTATTACAGAAGCGTTGATGGAGTAGGCATATACAGGCCGCATCCCACAATTTTTTTCAAAACGATACATTTATGACGTCGTTGTCCTAACTGCCGTAGAAACCGTGAACTCCAAAAATATATCGATTTTCTAATCTCATTCCATCCATTTACTGAATCCACCGCACAAGGCTGAGTAACTCTCTGAACATTACCCGTAACTTAGAAGAAAACGGATTATTTACCCTTGCTGTAACAGAAACAAACTGACAGACATAGTTACTTACCGTAACTCAAATTACAAGCTCAGATCATGCGAAAGGTTCAAAAACTTTTCTTTACTTCTTAATCTACATTGGCATTTCCATTCAGATAAATATTCAATTTTTTTTTAGATAGGCTGAAGAGATGATAGCTTTCTCCCACTCCATATCTTATTGTGAGAGTGTCATTATCCCAGAAACCAATCTCCGTATCAGTACAATCAGCACAATCAGTACAATCAGCATAATCAGCACAATCAGCACAATCAGTACAATCACACGAGACGAGGCTTTCAATCCTCGTTTAAGTTTTAAAAAAAATATATAAGTGTGGAACCAAACTCACCCTAACCTACCGTCCTCACAGTTATATTGCCAAACACAAAAAAAAAAACAAACAAAAAAATACGAAAAATTTCCTCCTATACCTTTTTGATGACGCTGACACTTACAGGGTATTTCAATTATCTCCTCTTTTTGTCTTGAGACTCTCCCCCCCCCCACCCCAATGCAATGAAACTAAAAAGATTGACTTCCTTATGGAAGGCTTCACCATGTACTAGTCGAAGTAGGATCTATGTCATTTTTTTTTGGCTGAAGATGCCGCTTCTGTTATATGTGTAAGACAGAAACATCTTCGAGGTTTCGAACAAACCACCCCAACCTCCCCAATAAATCCGGAATCGTCCTATTTCAACGTAGGTGAACACAAGGGCCGATGACATGAATCTAATAAGAAGCTTGCACCAATACGCCAGCTAGGGTGAACTATAAAAACAAATTAATTCAGATATTCGGCACCATATCACGGAATAGAATCGATCAAATACTCACTTACTCTTGATCCTCTATTTTCCTCTGTTTAAAATTTTACATCAGTAGTATTTAAATTCTATTACCGTGATTAGTCTACACCACAGCAAATGAGGTTTTTGTTCTGAACAACTTCACTTCCGTTTCTAACGATAACATTGAGCGCTTCCTGTTAAGAACATTGAGCTACATTGACTTCATCAAGATATTCGACAATTGACTGTTCACTATTTAAACGTACCTTTTATTTATTGCATTGTATAAAATGACGGAAACAAGAATATGCATTCATTAGAATATATACAAGTATTATATGTGTCTATCACAGTATATACTCGCATCATATGTGTCTATCACAGCATATACAGGTAGAATATATGTTAATCACATTATGTAAGCGTTTAATATTTGTCTGTCACATTCCAACCTACTTATAATCATGTTCCAGACAAAATTAAATTTTTTACTTAATTTAACCACCTTTACCCCAAAGGCCACTTGACACAAAAACAATCTTAGAAAGAGCAAGAAAAAGCCTGGGCCCAGTGCGTTATCATCTGCTAGCCGACAACTGTGAACATTTCGCCAAGTGGTGTCGCTACGACAGAAGTGAAAGTAAACAGGTACGTAAAAAAAACAACAACAAAAACAACAACATACCAATCTGTACTTTACCAAATCTATTAATGTTTGAGATGTTGACATTGGTGAGTAAATACTTTTTTAATACTTTCAAACTTCTTAAATAGGAATATATTGAATAGATTCATTTCACGTTTAAACAGGAATTTTTCTTTTATGGGATAAAAGTTTCTAATAAAATACCTTCAAAAATCTGATTAAAATTTTATAAATCAAATCATATGTTATAAACATATCGGCATTAACATTAATAGGCGAGCACTTAAGTTGTTTTTTTTTTAAAAACTTTTTTATATTTCTTGTGTTTCTTCATTCGTCCAGTCTGCTGAGGAAGGCTCTTAGCCGGAACGTTTTTCTTTCATCATCCTGTCTTTCTATTACAAGCATCTAGATATCCTTCTGTGCTATTTCCTCCACGCGACGATAAACGTGGTTCTTTATTTATTATCTATCCTTATCAACTGGGGCCGTAACTGAAAAATGTTGATGACATTTTCGGGGAAAAAAAGAGTCAAATAAAAATAGGAACTGGCGTAAAACTCAAGACTCCAAGAAAATTGGGTTTTGTGTGTGAGTGTGTGTGTGTGTGTGTGTGTGTTTGCGTAAACCTGTGTTATTAATTTTCCATAACAAATAATGTTATATTTTACTATTTTTCTGTTAATGAATCAAACCATTGTTTTCCCCTCCAGGCTGACGTTGCGGTTGCAACACTAAGCATAGTTGTGAGACTCTTATCTGGTGTCGAAATGACAGTGCTGTTGAAAGCACAAAATCAGAAACAACATAGTTAAGGAATTTTCTGAACCACACAATTATAGAATATATGACGTAAAAAAAAAAAGACATTTCATGCTCTCTGATTCATTGCTTGTCGTTGCAGCTGTAGACTTCTTTTTCAGGATATTGAAATAAAAAAAAAAAACAATATAAATAAAATACTATGTCTTTTCAATACACTATTTTTTTACAAATAATTTATCTGTGTGTCTAGTAAGTATTTAATAGCCCTATTATATTAAATGTAAAAATGTTATTCTGGCAGTGTTAAATATATAAAATAAAATTTAACGTTAATACTTTAAGTAATGTAGGATTTAAAATAAAAAAAAAAAATGTTTACGTGTAATCAACACATTAATAAAACAATTTTTTATTTTTTTCCTTTGAAACCATACGCCAGGATATGATTATTTTAATAATATGTATAGAAAACAAATTAAGTCCTTATTTCAACACACACACTACCGCACCAATAGTAATAATAATAATAATAATAATAAAACACATATGTTATTATTTTAACGCACTACTTTATTTTTTTTAAACTACCGTTAACAGGGTATGCGTTGCATTGCCCCTCAAAAAAAAATGTTTGTGTTTTAATTTCAAATTAGAATGTTTTTCGAGGCGTGGGCAAGCAACATACAGCTGTTCACATGAAAAGCGTGGATTTTTAAAATTTAGCCCACACACTTGTAGCGTTTGATGCACCCATGCAGTAGCTCTGTTTTAAATTATATTTATATAGCTCACATAAAAAAAATCTATTTAAAAAATAAGGCCCCCGGCGCCAAACCCAAAATTGTAAAATGGTTATTGCACTCATTCAGAAACCTACTTATTATGTCGCACACAAACTGAAATGCCGATTGTCTTTTATTCAACTCCATCCACCCATGCCATAGCTCTGTTTCAAATTATACTTGTATAGCTCATGTAAGAAAACATAATTTTGGGCCCCCGGCCTCAAAAGGAATATATTTAAAAAATGGATAAATCTTGGTACCACTATTTCCTTTTGGTGTACAAAACAAATCATTCAAGTAAAGACGACACAGACAATCAAAACTAAATCAAAACTCGTTATATGATCGAAAGTTTATTCAATCATTCAAACGTTGGAACAAGCTACTAACTATCCGGAAAGATTTCCCCCCAAAACATTAGCACATCTCACACTGTGTAAAACACTGGCACATCTCACTATGGGTAAAACACTGGCACATCTCACTATGGGTAAAACATTGGCACATCTCACTATGGGTAAAACACTGGCACATCTCACATTGTGTAAAACACTGGCACATCTCACATTGTGTAAAACACTGGCACATCTCACACTGTGTAAAACACTGGCACATCTCACTATGGGTAAAACACTGGCACATCTCACTATGGGTAAAACATTGGCACATCTCACTATGGGTAAAACACTGGCACATCTCACATTGTGTAAAACACCGGCACATCTCACTATGGGTAAAACACTGGCACATCTCACATTGTGTAAAACATTGGCACATCTCACTATGGGTAAAACACTGGCACATCTCACATTGTGTAAAACACCGGCACATCTCACTATGGGTAAAACACTGGCACATCTCACATTGTGTAAAACACCGGCACATCTCACTATGGGTAAAACACTGGCACATCTCACTATGGGTAAAACATTGGCACATCTCACTATGGGTAAAACATTGGCACATCTCACTATGGGTAAAACATTGGCACATCTCAGACTGTGTAAGACACTGGCACATCTCCCTATGGGTAAAACATTGGCACATCTCACTATGGGTAAAACATTGGCAAATCTCAGACTGTGTAAAACATTGGCACATCTCACTATGGGTAAAAAATTGGCACATCTCACTATGGGTAAAACATTGGCACATCTCACTATGGGTAAAACATTGGCACATCTCACATTGTGTAAAACACCGGCACATCTCACTATGGGTAAAACATTGGCACATCTCACTATGGGTAAAACATTGGCACATCTCACTATGGGTAAAACATTGGCACATCTCACATTGTGTAAAACACCGGCACATCTCACTATGGGTAAAACATTGGCACATCTCACTATGGGTAAAACATTGGCACATCTCACTATGGGTAAAACATTGGCACATCTCACTATGGGTAAAACATTGGCACATCTCACACTGTGTAAGACACTGGCACATCTCCCTATGGGTAAAACATTGGCACATCTCACTATGGGTAAAACATTGGCACATGTCACACTGTGTAAGACACTGGCACATCTCCCTATGGGTAAAACATTAGCACATCTCACTATGGCTAAAACATTGGCACATCTCCCTATGGGTAAAACATTGGCACATCTCACACTGTGTAAGACACTGGCACATCTCACACTGTGTAAAACACTGGCACATCTCACTATGGCTAAAACAGTGGCACATTTCCCTATGGGTAAAACATTGGCACATCTCACACTGTGTAAAACACTGGCACATCTCACTATGGCTAAAACAGTGGCACATTTCCCTATGGGTAAAACATTGGCACATCTCACACTGTGTAAGACACTGGCACATCTCCCTATGTATTAATCGCCTGTCAGGACAAAACATTTTTTTGACATCTTTATAAGAGTGTTTTAATGTCTAATCGATCTCATTAGTCCTGCGTTCGTATCATAAGACGATATAGAACTCCAAACTATATCTTTCATATATTTTGTGACATAGATCTTATTAGTACGTCCTTCGCATCTTAGGACAACATAGATCTCATTACTACGTCCTTCGTATCTCAGGACGACAAAGATCTCATTACTACGTCCTTCGTATCAAAGAATAACATATATTTCATAAGTACAACGTTCATATCTTAGCAATGACATAGATCTCATGGGGACGCCCTTCATACTTCATATCGTGGGATGACATAGATCTCATGGGGACGCCCTTCATACTTCATATCGTAGGATGACATAGATCTCATGGGGACGCCCTTCATACTTCATATCGTATAATGATGTGGTGAATAGAACGTTGTCTAGAGGTAGGTGCCCTCCGTGTGGCCAACGAAATAATGTAAGAGTCTGGAACAACTTTCCTTCTAACCTCCTGTCATGGTCAGATCGCGTGAGTTTTCCTGTGTCTGCTTTTATGATGTTAATGGAGCAATCGTGGGTGGGTTTTTTTCCCCGTGTGCCCAACGAGTTTTTTCTCGGTCATGCATGACCGTGGTGGTGTGTCGGGAGGAACCACGTGATGATAGGAGTGTGTGAAAAAGGGAAGGGAGTTTTTTGAGAGTAGACAGTGGCGAGTGCTGTGGAGAGGGTGCATGATTTTAGTTTTGTGGAGAAAGCGACATTTTTCTATGGATGGAAGAGGACTTAGTGCATTCTCGCTAGGACTCGTGTAACTATATTTTGTATAGTATGTGTAGCATTTCTGGACACGTTTTTATTCTGAATACCAGAGATTATTTCTTATGCATTTTCCCCCTGTCATGCATATGGAGCCAACAATTATTAAGAAACCTGAATCTATGCATCGTTTGTTTTGATACTTGGAACATTTAGCACAGTGGTTCTCAACCTGTGGGTCGCGACCACTTTGGGGGTCGAATGAACCCTTACCAAGGGTCACCTAAGACCATCGGAAAACAATGTACTCTACAGTTATGAAGTAGCAGCGAAAATAATTTTGTGGTTAGGGATCGCCACAACATGAGGAACTGTATTCAGGGTCGTGGCATTGGGAAGGTTGAGAGTTGAGTACCACTGATTTAGCACATCAGCTCTGTGGGGGCTAGAAATAAAGAAGGGGTTCTAGGCCGTTATAAATTGTTCTGTGGCTAGCAAGCAAGGGATCGACCTCTAGACAACGTACATCGCGTCATAACCGCTGCAGAGTTGATGTGTTGCATGTTTTAAGTAACAAAAAAAAAATATTATGGTTTCGTTTTCTTCGTTGGCTTCAAAAGCATGACAGAGAAAAATTGCATTATAATTTTTTTTTTTATGAATATGACAGGTCTTCCTAATATGATTTTACTGATTTTATGGCATAACGTTTGTTTGTATATCAAATCCATATTTAAAAATGTGTTTAATGAAGTAATGAAAAATAATATTGTTGATGAATTTAAATGAATAAATTGCAAGCATTAGTTGAAACTGACAGAATTTTTTGAAAATATGAAAGAAATCTAGAATCGTTCTAGATGTTAAGGAATAAACAGGAGATAAAGCATCTCTTCTAACTAAATATATTTCAGCTTTGAGTCGCAGGGCGAATGAGAACAATGATCTACCATACATAATCTTTAAACAAACTTTTCCCCCAGACACCATTATGTAAAGGAGATACTAAATCATTTACGCCATTATTGTGTTTTCCTCACTGCTTACTACACTCTGTCTCAGCCGAATTTTTTATTTAAATGTGTATGTATATATATATATATATGTATATATATATATATATATATATATATATATATATATATATATATATATATATATATATATATATATATATATATATATATATATTTCCATAGGTCAGGTGTCCTCAAACATTTTATAAAGGGGTTGGATCAGTGTTCCTCAGAAACAGTTGCTTTAGAGTTTTAAAAGTTCTCACGAATTTCATGTAAACATAAAAATGATAATTATAAATTAAAAATTTCCCCCACCAAACACAATTGACGGCCGGGACAAAGTTCAACAAGTAAAATTAAAGACTACTGCATGCAAGATATTGTAATATCATCTTAAGTAATGGTAGTGATGGGCTTATAAAAAAAAAAAGTCAGGAGAAAACATGTAGTTGTAGGTCCGACGCCTGCCTTATTAAATAATTCTTGATTTCACGGGAAAAACTGTAGGTTCTTTAAAATGAAGATTTCTACTTGGCACACGCCTGTCCTCGGCCAATTATTGACACAAGATCATATGGTCAACATGTTTAACAGGAATGCTTTAATTTTTATATTACAACATTCTCTTTTTTTTAATTTTTTTTTTTTTAAAACATTTTTTCGGGAAAATCCCATTTTATATTAATGTGAAATCTAGTATTCCCGATTCTAGTGGTTCCATTTTTTATTTTTTATTTTATAAACATTATTTCGGCAAAATCCTATTTTATATTAATGTGAAATTTGGTATTCCCGATTCTATTTGTTCCATTATTTTTTTTTTGTAAAAAGTGTATGTCTTGAAAAAAAAGGATGTTAAATAAATAAAAGTTTACAAAATAGTTATGCTGAATACACGTGAGAATTTTAAGTGAACTTTTACAACGGTTTTACGGCTCTATTAAAAACAATAAATTCCCCGAATGGTGAGAAAATGTGTGCAGTGCATAATCACAAAACAAGTCACACGACCGGCAATATATTTGACATTAACAGTCTAAACAGGAAGTGAACGATCAAGTGTTTCTTGTTGTGTACTTTGTTTTTTTAAAACTGTTCATATGTAATTACTATTTCACCAACCTGAAATATTATTAACTAGATATCGCCTGACAAACAGGCGACAGCAATACGTGAACTTCCCATTCACTAAAGTTACTTGACAAAGCATGAACTCAAGTAAGACTCCCAATTTTCGCTAAACCCCTTCCCCCATGATACGTCACTGCACACTTTTTATTTCACGCCCATGAACTATATTAATATTCTGATGTCCAAAACCACTTTTAAACCGAATATTAATTACACCATATTTAAATTGAGCGAGTTTCATGTTAAGAAAAGAAAATATTACACACCAAACGCAGTTTAGTCATATAAGAAAATAAATATCACGTAGCGCAGTTATCGGGAATTATATTTTGCGCTCTAGTGAACTCATTATTGAACCATACTTTCTTTCAAACATTATTTGTTAGTATTATACTCTCAATACCAAATTCGCTGATTAGGAACCAGTCCACGAGTCACATCAGAAGGGTAATATATAAAAGAAGATTTAAAAAAAAAATATTTTTTTACAATCTTTGCTGCACAAGCCACTTTAAAAAAGTTTTACTAAAATGAGTCATGAACTTCATTGAGTTCACTTTGATAACTAAAATCATTCAGGATTATATATTTATTTTTATACTCAAATGATGATATTTCTTCAGGTACGGTATAAAAAAAAATACATCTATCCTTTTAAATGCATATTGTTTTTGTTTTTTTTTTAAAGAAAATAATAAAAACAAATTTATGACAATATATTACTATTATCACCCAATTTATGCCAATATATTACTATTACCACCCAATTTATGCCAATATATTACTATTATCACCCAATTTATGCCAATATATTACTATTATCACCATGCTTTTTCCTTCTCTACTTCTACTTTCTGTTTTTTTTCTGTTAATTTTCTATTTCAAACAATTGTGCGGACAAATCCATCCAGGTAACAATTTGAAACATAGTTTTTAAAAAAAGTGTCTTTATTTACTTTTAGAATATCATTATTTAGCCAACGAAGTTTATGACGTAATTGATTACTTAAGTCAAGTGAATTCAAAATAGAGGATGATACCAGGATTTCGTGTTGTTCGCGGACCTGACTGGGGGTCAGGAGACGAGGATGGGGGAGAGGGCCATGTTGGGACTCTCGTGGGTGTTGATGACCTGGATAAATCAGCGGAGGTGGTCTGGGATTCTGGGACCAGAAAGACCTACAGCGCCGGACGAGGAGATGCTTTTGAATTGTGCGTGTTCGACAACGCCCAAAGTGGTGAGTGAATCAATTTTAAAATTAAGTATAAAATATTTTTAGCTTTTAAAAAAATAATATGCTTTTAAAAAAATAATATACTTTTAAAAAAATAATATACTTTTAAAAAAATAATATACTTTTGAAAAAATAATATACTTTTAAAAAATAATATACTTTTAAAAAACAATAAACTTCTAAAAAAATAATATACTTAAAAAAAATAATATATACTTTAAAAAAAATTCTTGTCCGAAAAAAAAGAGAGAAAAAGCTTATATTTGTAAATTCATGTAGATTTATTTTTGGTAATCGCACTATATCACCTGTTTATTTTTGTATTTTATATTCTTTTTATTCTCGCTATATGTTTTTGCTTATTTCTGTAACTCTTACTGCATCTGAAGTTTTAACTTGGAATCAAATCTATAATTACAATATTGTCTGTAATAATTTTCTTTTTGTACATAATATTTGCTAGGGAACTTACTATTTTCGTCCACGGGCATGGTATATGTACAAGTTAAATGCCACTTAAAAAGTTAATTTAATGGAAAACAATAACAGTTATTGAAAATCTATAAATTATTTTTGATGACATGCGCAAATCGTTATTTCGCCTAAAAATACACTTACATTTACAGAATCAAATGTAGCATAGCGTAATTTTAAATATAAACACAAACGGTTCACAAAAATGGTTAGGAGTAAGCTTCCCGTTTCTTTAGAAACCAGACAAGATATATAACATTATTTTTTTATTTTTTTTAAATCATTATTATTTTGACACAGAAATAATACACATATCAGTTTAATGATGAATCTTATAGAAATAATAAACTATCAGATATCACTATGCATTGGCTTTAGACTAAGATTGTCTTTACTGTAATTGAAAGAAATCACATAATAATGTGTCCGTGTGTTTAATGTGGCATAGGTCGGTAAAAGTGTTGGCTGAAGACTAAAAGTGTCCCAATCAAACTAAATTATAAACTGGTAGGTTTGGTTACGTGGCGCAGTCGTCTACTGTTCTCACAAAATAACTTTTAAAAACCTTTCTACCAACCGGTCAGGGATTAGGCACCCAAACATAACGTGTGACGAGTGTGACGAAGTGGGCATTCACGGCATACGCTGGAAGTGCACCGTGTGCTTCGACTATGACCTGTGCTCCTCTTGCTACCACTCCGACAAGCACGACGCACAGCATGAGTTTTGGAGAATCGATACCGTCCAGTCCAAGCGGTAAACCTTAAGAAGCAGCATTCTTTTAAATGAAAAGAAATAGGTCAATTATGAGCGAAATAAAAATAAGTGTTCAGAAACAGCAATTAAGAATGTTAAGAAGATTGTATGAGTAAAGTATATTATGTCTTCGTGATGATTTAAGGTTTAAAGTTGCTAGAAGATGTGAGAGTGCAAAAGTGCAGGCCAAAGGAATATTTACGGGGGCAATCGTGTGCCGTGGTCAAGACTGGCAATGGACAGATCAGGATGGTAAGTACAGTGTTCACACTATGCCACATGGGTTTTAGTGGTTTATACTAAAAAAGCGTCAAATATTAAGCAAGATAAACGGCAAGAAAAAAAAATCCAATTGCGCTTCTAGAAATGTAAATGACTCACTAACGCACATATTCTTGTGAAGGTCTGAGATCACTCTGTTATTATCCCAGCTCGTAAATTGGCTGCCAGCTCCATCTGTTGAGCTGAGCAATAAAGCATTTTTCCACATGTAGGGCTCTTTTCCCGCCCTGGTCTCAGCCGAAACATCTAGTGAGGTCAACAGGTTCGCTAGTGTTTCTGGGACCAGGCTGCAATGCCGGCAGGTAGGGTGCCTGTTATGAAATATGTGCCGATGGGACTGTGCTCAGTGCCTATCTGTGTCACTATAGTCTGCCTGCGACTTAACATCCGCCATGGGGGTCTTGTCGGCGAGGAGTCGACAAGTTAGCGAATACACCTCTGGCTGTCGTGTTGTCTTGCCATTCCCTGTGCCATTTCGTTCTAAACTGGTCCGCCAACCCGTTTTAAATTCCGAGATAAGATACTGATCCATCTGGTATAGAGGCTGAGCAGCCCCCCAGTTTTCGTCAAGGCGACTGCTTTTTCAATAGCCACTGACGTGCCCTGGACTCCACTGCACAGCTAACGTTCATCCTAGTCCACCGATCTTGTCCACGTCATTCGTGAGGGCGCCAGCTAAGTGAGTGGACATTAACAAAGGGAATGTCCTTATTGACTTAATACTTGTCTCAGGAATAACATAAACTATTGTTGAGTATAACATTTAATGCATGTTTCACTACTAACTTCTCTTTAATTAATGAATATATATTTGCATATTATATTTAAAAAAAACGTATGTGTGTGTGTGTGTTTTTGTGTCCATGCAGTGTTAGGAAAAAAATTAACTCCTTTTTGATAATGATGAAAAAAAAAAAAACTAGTCAAAATTCATTACTTATAAAAAAAAAAATACAACTCATCCTAGTCATGGCGTACTTACTAAAAAAAATTTAACGGTTCATGTAAAAATTAAGATTGTGTTAGAATTAAAGTAAGTTTTGCAATTTTAAACAATTGTTACATATTTAGCATTAGTTTTAATCATTGTATATATACATAAGTATCTTAACTTTTTTTAAATAGCAAGGTCTCAAAAGAGAAATATTTCTGTTAGAACAACGTGTTCCATTATTTATAGGGGGAGGAGGCAGTGAAGGAAACGTTTTAAGCATTGGAGATTGGGACGCCAACAAGTCCAAAAGAAGCCTAGCAAGTGTCCAGTGGTCGAATAGGACTACACAAAGCTACCGGCTTGGCCATGCCGGGAAAGTCGACTTGAAACTTACAAAAGCTGCCTTTGGCCAGGCTTACTATAAACTCCACCTTCCTATTTTAGGTACGTGCATTCAATATTTCTACAGATATAATTGCATAAATTAATTAATTTCAAAATACAATTTTCTAATTATTAAGTTTTAGCTATGTATTCGGTAAACGAATAAAAAAAAATTAGTTTAAAAACTAATTGTTGCTTTGCACAGGGTTTGCTTCGAGGCTTATTGAATTTGTTTTTCTTCAAGGCAATACATTTTTTTAGAACATTTTATTCATTCCGTTTGTTGTAATTCTGCATGATTATTACTTTTTAAATGAACTAATTATTTTTTTAAAAAATCTGCTCAAGAGAGAAAAACTAACAATGGAAGTTTTCTAGTCCTCCACAAAAAAAAAAAAAAAAAAAAAATCATTGATTTTCATGACGTTAATTTAACACATGACCCAAACTAGATCGAAATACAATCAAAACATGAACAACACTGACCAAGAATATCAGTACGGGTACATTGAGAGAAACTCACACGGCTAGAATGTTGGTCATCGACTGGACTAAAAAGTTGAATTTAGAAGTTCTTAGAAGAGGATAATACTTTAAGTTTTGGCGTTCCAAAACAATAAAGGCAGGGGTAAACCTTAACGTGTGGAATTTTAGGAAAAAGAATACCATTCGCTGTTCTTTCAATAATACCATTCGCTGTTCTTTCAATAATACCTTTCGCTGTTCTTTCAATGCAAGGAGCAATTAAAATAATTCTTCTTTTTTTTTTTTTGCGTTTTATAAAAAAAAAAAAGAAAAGTTTATATATATTTAAATAAAAATTGTTAAAAAATTTCAACTTTCATCAAAACACACGAGTTATTAGTTGATTGTGCTTCTGTTTGTCACGAGTTATTAGTTGATTGTGCTTCTGTTTGTCACGAGTTATTAGTTGATTGTGCTTAATCTGTTTGTCACGAGTTATTAGTTGATTGTGCTAAATCTGTTTGTCACGAGTTATTAGTTGATTGTGCTAAATCTGTTTGTCACGAGTTATTAGTTGATTGTGCTAAATCTGTTTGTCACGAGTTATTAGTTGATTGTGCTAAATCTGTTTGTCACGAGTTATTAGTTGATTGTGCTAAATCTGTTTGTCACGAGTTATTAGTTGATTGTGCTAAATCTGTTTGTCACGAGTTATTAGTTGATTGTGCTAAATCTGTTTGTCACGAGTTATTAGTTGATTGTGCTAAATCTGTTTGTCACGAGTTATTAGTTGATTGTGCTAAATCTGTTTGTCACGAGTTATTAGTTGATTGTGCTAAATCTGTTTGTCACGAGTTATTAGTTGATTGTGCTAAATCTGTTTGTCACGAGTTATTAGTTGATTGTGCTAAATCTGTTTGTCACGAGTTATTAGTTGATTGTGCTAAATCTGTTTGTCACGAGTTATTAGTTGATTGTGCTAAATCTGTTTGTCACGAGTTATTAGTTGATTGTGCTAAATCTGTTTGTCACGAGTTATTAGTTGATTGTGCTAAATCTGTTTGTCACGAGTTATTAGTTGATTGTGCTAAATCTGTTTGTCACGAGTTATTAGTTGATTGTGCTAAATCTGTTTGTCACGAGTTATTAGTTGATTGTGCTAAATCTGTTTGTCACGAGTTATTAGTTGATTGTGCTAAATCTGTTTGTCACGAGTTATTAGTTGATTGTGCTAAATCTGTTTGTCACGAGTTATTAGTTGATTGTGCTAAATCTGTTTGTCACGAGTTATTAGTTGATTGTGCTAAATCTGTTTGTCACGAGTTATTAGTTGATTGTGCTAAATCTGTTTGTCACGAGTTATTAGTTGATTGTGCTAAATCTGTTTGTCACGAGTTATTAGTTGATTGTGCTAAATCTGTTTGTCACGAGTTATTAGTTGATTGTGCTAAATCTGTTTGTCACGAGTTATTAGTTGATTGTGCTAAATCTGTTTGTCACGAGTTATTAGTTGATTGTGCTAAATCTGTTTGTCACGAGTTATTAGTTGATTGTGCTAAATCTGTTTGTCACGAGTTATTAGTTGATTGTGCTAAATCTGTTTGTCACGAGTTATTAGTTGATTGTGCTAAATCTGTTTGTCACGAGTTATTAGTTGATTGTGCTAAATCTGTTTGTCACGAGTTATTAGTTGATTGTGCTAAATCTGTTTGTCACGAGTTATTAGTTGATTGTGCTAAATCTGTTTGTCACGAGTTATTAGTTGATTGTGCTAAATCTGTTTGTCACGAGTTATTAGTTGATTGTGCTAAATCTGTTTGTCACGAGTTATTAGTTGATTGTGCTAAATCTGTTTGTCACGAGTTATTAGTTGATTGTGCTAAATCTGTTTGTCACGAGTTATTAGTTGATTGTGCTAAATCTGTTTGTCACGAGTTATTAGTTGATTGTGCTAAATCTGTTTGTCACGAGTTATTAGTTGATTGTGCTAAATCTGTTTGTCACGAGTTATTAGTTGATTGTGCTAAATCTGTTTGTCACGAGTTATTAGTTGATTGTGCTAAATCTGTTTGTCACGAGTTATTAGTTGATTGTGCTAAATCTGTTTGTCACGAGTTATTAGTTGATTGTGCTAAATCTGTTTGTCACGAGTTATTAGTTGATTGTGCTAAATCTGTTTGTCACGAGTTATTAGTTGATTGTGCTAAATCTGTTTGTCACGAGTTATTAGTTGATTGTGCTAAATCTGTTTGTCACGAGTTATTAGTTGATTGTGCTAAATCTGTTTGTCACGAGTTATTAGTTGATTGTGCTAAATCTGTTTGTCACGAGTTATTAGTTGATTGTGCTAAATCTGTTTGTCACGAGTTATTAGTTGATTGTGCTAAATCTGTTTGTCACGAGTTATTAGTTGATTGTGCTAAATCTGTTTGTCACGAGTTATTAGTTGATTGTGCTAAATCTGTTTGTCACGAGTTATTAGTTGATTGTGCTAAATCTGTTTGTCACGAGTTATTAGTTGATTGTGCTAAATCTGTTTGTCACGAGTTATTAGTTGATTGTGCTAAATCTGTTTGTCACGAGTTATTAGTTGATTGTGCTAAATCTGTTTGTCACGAGTTATTAGTTGATTGTGCTAAATCTGTTTGTCACGAGTTATTAGTTGATTGTGCTAAATCTGTTTGTCACGAGTTATTAGTTGATTGTGCTAAATCTGTTTGTCACGAGTTATTAGTTGATTGTGCTAAATCTGTTTGTCACGAGTTATTAGTTGATTGTGCTAAATCTGTTTGTCACGAGTTATTAGTTGATTGTGCTAAATCTGTTTGTCACGAGTTATTAGTTGATTGTGCTAAATCTGTTTGTCACGAGTTATTAGTTGATTGTGCTAAATCTGTTTGTCACGAGTTATTAGTTGATTGTGCTAAATCTGTTTGTCACGAGTTATTAGTTGATTGTGCTAAATCTGTTTGTCACGAGTTATTAGTTGATTGTGCTAAATCTGTTTGTCACGAGTTATTAGTTGATTGTGCTAAATCTGTTTGTCACGAGTTATTAGTTGATTGTGCTAAATCTGTTTGTCACGAGTTATTAGTTGATTGTGCTAAATCTGTTTGTCACGAGTTATTAGTTGATTGTGCTAAATCTGTTTGTCACGAGTTATTAGTTGATTGTGCTAAATCTGTTTGTCACGAGTTATTAGTTGATTGTGCTAAATCTGTTTGTCACGAGTTATTAGTTGATTGTGCTAAATCTGTTTGTCACGAGTTATTAGTTGATTGTGCTAAATCTGTTTGTCACGAGTTATTAGTTGATTGTGCTAAATCTGTTTGTCACGAGTTATTAGTTGATTGTGCTAAATCTGTTTGTCACGAGTTATTAGTTGATTGTGCTAAATCTGTTTGTCACGAGTTATTAGTTGATTGTGCTAAATCTGTTTGTCACGAGTTATTAGTTGATTGTGCTAAATCTGTTTGTCACGAGTTATTAGTTGATTGTGCTAAATCTGTTTGTCACGAGTTATTAGTTGATTGTGCTAAATCTGTTTGTCACGAGTTATTAGTTGATTGTGCTAAATCTGTTTGTCACGAGTTATTAGTTGATTGTGCTAAATCTGTTTGTCACGAGTTATTAGTTGATTGTGCTAAATCTGTTTGTCACGAGTTATTAGTTGATTGTGCTAAATCTGTTTGTCACGAGTTATTAGTTGATTGTGCTAAATCTGTTTGTCACGAGTTATTAGTTGATTGTGCTAAATCTGTTTGTCACGAGTTATTAGTTGATTGTGCTAAATCTGTTTGTCACGAGTTATTAGTTGATTGTGCTAAATCTGTTTGTCACGAGTTATTAGTTGATTGTGCTAAATCTGTTTGTCACGAGTTATTAGTTGATTGTGCTAAATCTGTTTGTCACGAGTTATTAGTTGATTGTGCTAAATCTGTTTGTCACGAGTTATTAGTTGATTGTGCTAAATCTGTTTGTCACGAGTTATTAGTTGATTGTGCTAAATCTGTTTGTCACGAGTTATTAGTTGATTGTGCTAAATCTGTTTGTCACGAGTTATTAGTTGATTGTGCTAAATCTGTTTGTCACGAGTTATTAGTTGATTGTGCTAAATCTGTTTGTCACGAGTTATTAGTTGATTGTGCTAAATCTGTTTGTCACGAGTTATTAGTTGATTGTGCTAAATCTGTTTGTCACGAGTTATTAGTTGATTGTGCTAAATCTGTTTGTCACGAGTTATTAGTTGATTGTGCTAAATCTGTTTGTCACGAGTTATTAGTTGATTGTGCTAAATCTGTTTGTCACGAGTTATTAGTTGATTGTGCTAAATCTGTTTGTCACGAGTTATTAGTTGATTGTGCTAAATCTGTTTGTCACGAGTTATTAGTTGATTGTGCTAAATCTGTTTGTCACGAGTTATTAGTTGATTGTGCTAAATCTGTTTGTCACGAGTTATTAGTTGATTGTGCTAAATCTGTTTGTCACGAGTTATTAGTTGATTGTGCTAAATCTGTTTGTCACGAGTTATTAGTTGATTGTGCTAAATCTGTTTGTCACGAGTTATTAGTTGATTGTGCTAAATCTGTTTGTCACGAGTTATTAGTTGATTGTGCTAAATCTGTTTGTCACGAGTTATTAGTTGATTGTGCTAAATCTGTTTGTCACGAGTTATTAGTTGATTGTGCTAAATCTGTTTGTCACGAGTTATTAGTTGATTGTGCTAAATCTGTTTGTCACGAGTTATTAGTTGATTGTGCTAAATCTGTTTGTCACGAGTTATTAGTTGATTGTGCTAAATCTGTTTGTCACGAGTTATTAGTTGATTGTGCTAAATCTGTTTGTCACGAGTTATTAGTTGATTGTGCTAAATCTGTTTGTCACGAGTTATTAGTTGATTGTGCTAAATCTGTTTGTCACGAGTTATTAGTTGATTGTGCTAAATCTGTTTGTCACGAGTTATTAGTTGATTGTGCTAAATCTGTTTGTCACGAGTTATTAGTTGATTGTGCTAAATCTGTTTGTCACGAGTTATTAGTTGATTGTGCTAAATCTGTTTGTCACGAGTTATTAGTTGATTGTGCTAAATCTGTTTGTCACGAGTTATTAGTTGATTGTGCTAAATCTGTTTGTCACGAGTTATTAGTTGATTGTGCTAAATCTGTTTGTCACGAGTTATTAGTTGATTGTGCTAAATCTGTTTGTCACGAGTTATTAGTTGATTGTGCTAAATCTGTTTGTCACGAGTTATTAGTTGATTGTGCTAAATCTGTTTGTCACGAGTTATTAGTTGATTGTGCTAAATCTGTTTGTCACGAGTTATTAGTTGATTGTGCTAAATCTGTTTGTCACGAGTTATTAGTTGATTGTGCTAAATCTGTTTGTCACGAGTTATTAGTTGATTGTGCTAAATCTGTTTGTCACGAGTTATTAGTTGATTGTGCTAAATCTGTTTGTCACGAGTTATTAGTTGATTGTGCTAAATCTGTTTGTCACGAGTTATTAGTTGATTGTGCTAAATCTGTTTGTCACGAGTTATTAGTTGATTGTGCTAAATCTGTTTGTCACGAGTTATTAGTTGATTGTGCTAAATCTGTTTGTCACGAGTTATTAGTTGATTGTGCTAAATCTGTTTGTCACGAGTTATTAGTTGATTGTGCTAAATCTGTTTGTCACGAGTTATTAGTTGATTGTGCTAAATCTGTTTGTCACGAGTTATTAGTTGATTGTGCTAAATCTGTTTGTCACGAGTTATTAGTTGATTGTGCTAAATCTGTTTGTCACGAGTTATTAGTTGATTGTGCTAAATCTGTTTGTCACGAGTTATTAGTTGATTGTGCTAAATCTGTTTGTCACGAGTTATTAGTTGATTGTGCTAAATCTGTTTGTCACGAGTTATTAGTTGATTGTGCTAAATCTGTTTGTCACGAGTTATTAGTTGATTGTGCTAAATCTGTTTGTCACGAGTTATTAGTTGATTGTGCTAAATCTGTTTGTCACGAGTTATTAGTTGATTGTGCTAAATCTGTTTGTCACGAGTTATTAGTTGATTGTGCTAAATCTGTTTGTCACGAGTTATTAGTTGATTGTGCTAAATCTGTTTGTCACGAGTTATTAGTTGATTGTGCTAAATCTGTTTGTCACGAGTTATTAGTTGATTGTGCTAAATCTGTTTGTCACGAGTTATTAGTTGATTGTGCTAAATCTGTTTGTCACGAGTTATTAGTTGATTGTGCTAAATCTGTTTGTCACGAGTTATTAGTTGATTGTGCTAAATCTGTTTGTCACGAGTTATTAGTTGATTGTGCTAAATCTGTTTGTCACGAGTTATTAGTTGATTGTGCTAAATCTGTTTGTCACGAGTTATTAGTTGATTGTGCTAAATCTGTTTGTCACGAGTTATTAGTTGATTGTGCTAAATCTGTTTGTCACGAGTTATTAGTTGATTGTGCTAAATCTGTTTGTCACGAGTTATTAGTTGATTGTGCTAAATCTGTTTGTCACGAGTTATTAGTTGATTGTGCTAAATCTGTTTGTCACGAGTTATTAGTTGATTGTGCTAAATCTGTTTGTCACGAGTTATTAGTTGATTGTGCTTGTGTTTGTCCTACCGAAAGGCAGAGTTGAAAGCACACTATGTAAATTCGCCATGGGAGAAAAGGTCACGTGTCTATGTAAAATTGACATCCTGAAAGTCTTTCAAGAGAAGTTAGGTCGATGGAATGAAGCTATGACTATGGTAAGTCGCTTACCATAAATAAAACACATACAAAAAAAACAACATATTTATTAATACATTAATGATGGATTATATGTTTTGAAAAAAATGCAGATTTTTACCGTGAAATTCGTTATCATTAATTGTGTGAGTGATTTATTACCCGTGCTTATATAATATATAGCACGTATTCATAAATGATATATGCCATTTTAAAGCATGTTTGAAATATATATATATGAAATTGAAGAGAAACTAAATCTTGATATCAATTGTTTTATCGTGATGTGTTGCACAGTACAACACATTGGCTGGTACAATCATCGATGTCAACGATACCAACGAAGTTGAGGTACAATACGACGATGGTGTTAAGGTGTGGTACAGCCAAGACGTGCTGACCACTGCTGAGGTAATTATGTGGATTTAAAAATAGATGTTATTTTTTAAATATAAAACAGTAAATGGATATTGAAGCAGAGGTAAAATTTTTTGTACAATTTAAAAAAAAACATTCTAGTTAGCATTCATTTTTCAACAGAAAACAAAAGGTCTTTCTTTAATGAGGCCGACACAGCTCATTGAACTGAATTGTCTTTAGTACCGATAAAATTCAATTTTATTGAAAGATTTCGATTATTATTGAAGATACATCTTTATGGTTGTTAAGGAAATTAATTATGTAAAATAATTTGCGATTGGGAAGAAAAAAAAAATCTAAAACATTTTTAATGTTATACAATAAATATTAACATAGAATGAAAGATTGTCAACTGGCATGTGTTCATGTGTTCATGTGTTCTACAATTTAATTTAATAGCATAACAATCTTTAACCTGGTAAGTGCAGTTTTTTAAAATTGACAACTAAAAAGAGTTGCTTGATTTAACCGCATGACCTACTATAATGTAATGGAAGGATGAAGCAGACTCCGCTCCATCATCGCCCACGGTTGAAGACACGCGCAAAAGCAACCTTGAACTTAAAATTAATTTTAAATCTTATTAAAGGCAGATGAAATTGATTCCGCTCCATCGTTGTCCACGAGTGAAGACGATGACGTAGAGAACCTTGAACTAGGCTGTCGTGTCGTCCGAGGCCCTGACTGGAAATGGGGCAGTCAGGACGGCGGAGAGGGACATGTCGGAACCATCGTAGACATCTGGTCCAGAGACGGGTCAGGGGTACCGGAAAACTGTGCTGTGGTCTTGTGGGACTCGGGCAAAACAAGAACTTACAGAGTTGGGGAACATGAAAAATATGACCTTTGTGTTTACGACAACTCACCTATTGGTATGTATATCCATAACAAAGATCTGAATATGTCACTACCAAGAAAAAAAAGGGGTGGGGGGGATAAACATGAACATCGCAGGTGTATAAACTTTAAAATGATTTAAGCTACAGAAAATGTCTAAGGGCGTTCCAATGAAAAAATGTGATATTTTAAACTGCTGAGAATGTATGTCACACATCTTCTCACTCGACTAACTGTGTCATGTTTACCAATCAAAACTTAAGATTAATAATTTACCAAGATTTTATAGAAGCTTATCATCAACATCCACCTACTGTTTTCGGTAAACTTGTTCCATCTTTAAAAGAATAGCACCTTATGTTCTGTCGTCAGAAAGAGCTCTTAATATTGCGATGTGGGGGAATCTGATTTTAATAATGTAACACTTACAAGAAGTAAACTTAAAATAAATCATCTATATTAATCTTAACCTGAAATAGATATGTAGAACTTCAATCATTATCTTAGTAAATACTTATACTTTGGATTAGCCTAACAATCAGTGTTAAAATCAATTAAGTCTTTACTTCTAAAACCAACTAGTTGCATCATCACCATTTCAGCAAATTATGAATAAACAATCAACCACAAGCAATTTGTGATAGCAAAAAAAACAACAAAAAAACAGAAATGTTAAGATTGAATTAAAAGAATTATTACAACTGAAACGTACCGGCGTAAAGTCTTCAACAGTAACTCAAAAAACAAAATAAGCATGAGAATGAAATACACTTCCCAGACTCCATAATTCTACCAATCAAATGACTAAGAGCATAGAAAAAGATAGGGGGCCCCCCCCCCCCCCAAGCCCTTACAAAAACGGATAAGGAAAGAATAGATGGGAACAGGGCGGATATCAAAGTTATTGTTATAGCAATATTGTGCCCAAGATGATTGGGGGGGGGGACGGGACACAAAGTCATTTTTCTCATGATTAAATACATCACAATTAAAGGAAAACATTCGTTTTAAGAAAGGCACAACTATTAACATTCCTGGCCTGCATACTAAAAGACTTCAAGATATAATTACCCGTCAAAATTAACGCTAGCTTCGTTTCCCTCATCATTTCAAGTTTCTGACTAGCAACAATGCAAATTTCATACACTAGTATCACATGAACAATGGATCTTTTATTTGTTTCAATTCTTTAAAGTATTTGATTGAACTTATCAATTGCTTATCAGTTTGTAATGAAAACAAATCAGTACATCGTATCAGTCAAATGATGAGAAAAAAATATATTTAATTTTTTTTTTTAAATTTTAACAAACACAATTAACCATAGCATGTGTTGACACAGGCATCAAACATCCATCAGTCACGTGTGACGAGTGTCAAGAGTGTATCGCTGGTATTCGCTGGAAGTGCACCGAATGCTTCAACTATGATTTGTGTTCCACGTGTTACAACTCTGATAAACACGACACAGAGCATGAATTTTGGAGAATCGACACCGTGTGCTCGGAACGGTAACAATTTACTCTTAACCTTAAACAAAATAATTTCAATCATGTTAGTTTAATTATGAACAAACCAATGTTGCTTTTGGAAATAATACTGGATTTAAAATAAATATATACATTTGATGTTTTTTTTAACGGAACAAACGTATTAAAATTCTGTCAAAGAGCTCTAAATGATTAAGTTCCTGGAGGAAATTTTTTCATTGTTCACATTCACAGCAATTTATCGAAAGAAAATCAGTTATCTTTAACTTTAAATATATATTGATATCAATGTTCCTTATCGTGGGAGTCAGTGACTGACCAATGAGTTGAGACGTTTTTCTGATGCCATCCGATCATGGGGGATGATCTACGACTGATCAATGGCTTGGGACGTTGATCTGATGCCAGCTGGTCAGGTGGATGATATGGGGCTGACCAATGGCTTGAGGCCTTGATTGGATGCCAGTTGGTCAGTGGGATGATGATCGACAGACGAATGTCTTGGGATGTTAATCTGATGCAAGTTTGTCATGGGGGATGACTTGCGACTGACCAATGGCTTGGGACGTTGATTTGATGCCAGCTGGCCAGGGTGGATGATGTGCGACTGACCAAGGGCTTGGTAGATTGATTTGATGCCAACTGGTCAGGGTGGATGATGATTTGCGACTTACCAATAGCTTTGGACGTTGATCTGTTTACAGCTGGTCATGGGGATGATGTGCGACTGACTAATTGATTGAGACGTTGTTCTGATGCGAGCTGGTCAGGGGGATATTGTGTGAGAACTGATATGCATACTTGAGGAAACTTATCTCATTGTTGTATTTGCACCATTTAGACACAACAGTACACAAGGATCATTCAGAATATATTCGTAATTGTATAAAAACATCACCCAGCAATAGGTAAAAAAAACGAGACTTGGTTTTCATTTAATTAAAACATTATAAGTCATCTATTTGACATGTTATGGTTACATGCATTTTCAGATGACGTCTGTGGTAAGTTTGTTTTTACATTTTCAGCAGCTGGGCAAAAAAGTGCAAGTGCACCCAATGTTTAGAAATTCCATAAATACGTCTACAAAAAATATTTAATTGCAATATTATTCAGAATCCCTTTGAATGTTTTCTTTTTTTCTTCTTTTCATCTGTCATCGTTGTTTTAATCACACTGAATTCATGGAGTAGATTTTAAAAGGTTGTCGTGGAAAAGATTATTTGCAGTTGGCAATATCATTGTCAATCTCTAGTCGTAAAGATTTATGTAACGGTAACCGCACCGTAAGTTGTTATATGTGTAATAGGCTTGTGTTAACACGGGTGGAAATCAGGATACATTAAAATAATTGTGCAACGCAACTGTGTGTGTGGTCGTTAAGTGACATTATTTTTGAGAAGAGAACTTAAGCTATTGATCAATTGTATAATGTATTCCATATAACCAAACAAAAAAATGGGAGAGATTTGACTTGTTTTGGTTTCTCATTTACAACCACCCCTCCTCTTAACCCAGCGTGACACTCTTTGCTTTACATACGTCATCATCGTCTTTAAAGAGCACACTAAAAGTTCAAGGTCAAATTTAGTCTAACCCTTGCGTTAAAAAAAACAATTTTGTCTTGTCATTCGATTAGCTTTGTTTTTAAAGTATGGTGTGTAGATGTAGAGTCAAGAAAATATCAAGGGAAACAAGAAATCATTTTAAGTCTGGTGGTTGGTGATTAAATAGAACATTAAAGCCTTGGCCATTCAAGAACTTGCACTGAATAGCCCATTAAATGTTCATTTGCTTGTAAATCTTATGAAATATCTATGTGAATAAAACATATATATATATATATTTGTTTAAAGAAGTATATACAACTCACACGTAATCGCTTTACTTTGTCAATGTGCTGCGCCCTCTTTTCAATTTGTCAGCTTATTTATTTAATTTTTTTTTCTGCGTTTCATTATGTGTTTTAAAATTGCCAACAATACATTTACAGAAAGAAACTTAATTGATGTGCGATAAAACTTTTAGTCTCTTATGGGGGTGCGTCCAAATAATTGTGAAACGTAAAAGAGAGTAGCTTGCCCGCTGTTGCCGCTTATTTTTTTTTTCAATTCTTGTTGGTTCCAAAATCATTTTATTGTTTTTCGTCTTTATACTATTCAAAGCATTATATTAATTTTTTTGATTATATTTATTTATCTCACGATAAGCTTATCGAAGTAAATGCGCAATTAAAAAAAATTTTTAAAAAAAAAAAAAAAATTTTAAAAAAAAAAAAAAAAAAAAAAAAAAAAAAAGACTGCACTGTCCTTTCAAAACGAAGCATTTAAAAACCAGAGTCCCATTGCCGGGGCTATTTCTGTCACAAGAATGCTCAATACCTTAAAAGTGTACCAGTCATCAATATTGCTAGAGCACAAGAGTAAAATAATGATTGTATTTTAATTGAAATGTTAAATATTTTTTTTTTATTAATATGTCATTTTTGCCACTGTTTATTTTAAGAGTGAAGGTGTCACGGAGATGTGACAGTGAAAAGTCCCAGGCCAGGGGTATATTTACTGGCGCAGTCGTGTGTCGTGGTCAAGACTGGAAATGGAATGACCAGGATGGTATGTAGGGATATTATGACGTGCTCGACTGTTGAAACTAGTTGAAGTAATCTAGGCCACCCGACCATGAGATAAGAAGAATGTCTTACCTAACCCTAAACCGACCATGAGATAAGAAAAACGTCTCCCCTAACCCAACCATGAGATAAGAAGAATGTCTTACCTAACCCTAAACCGACCATGAGATAACAAGAATGTCTTACCTAACCCTAAACCGACCATGAGATAAGAAAAACGTCTCCCCTAACCCAACCATGAGATAAGAAGAATGTCTTACCTAACCCTAACCCAACCATGAGATAAGAAGAATGTCTTACCTAACCCTAAACCGACCATGAGATAAGAAGAATGTCTTACCTAACCCTAAACCGACCATGAGATAAGAAGAATGTCTTACCTAACCCTAACCCAAACATGAGATAAGAAGAATGCCTTACCTAACCCTAAACCAACCATGAGATAAGAAGAATGTCTTACCTAACCCTAAACCGACCATGAGATAAGAAAAACGTCTCCCCTAACCCAACCATGAGATAATAAGAATGTCTTACCTAACCCTAACCCGACCCTGAGAGAAGAAAAATGTAGGCTTCTTTTCATTGACAACTCCAAGAGCGGCTGATAAGAGCGATAATAGTGGGATATGGTGGTTAACAAAACCAATTGTAAACAAAATTGTCTCCTCAAGAGGTGTTAATTTAATACATTAGGGTTAAACATAGTATAATTATAGCGCCTTGCAAATTGTTTGAGATCTTGACCCCCACCCCACAACCCCAGCCCACTTTTTTTTTCAAAGAATTAAAATTTCAGTCTTCTTTGGACCAGAAAATGGCCCTAAAAACAACTATTTTTAAACTTGTATCACCAAATGAGCAATAATTTAATTATTTATATAGAAGTTGAATAAGACGCAGAATTAAAAGTTTTACGACATGCTCTAGGGAATTGAAAAAAACAACAAACATTTTTAACAATTTGGTGTTAAATATAAAATAATGCAAATTATGCCCCTATTTTGGGATAAAAATCAGTCTTTGATACCAGACCGTTTTAAATAGGTCGCATTGGAGTATTCCAAACTGTAAACAACATTCTTTCTTGCTAAAATTAATAGCATCTAGACATTTCGAAAAGGTGACGCTGGCGCAAAGGTAATCTCTCTTAGCGTTAATGAAATAGAAACACACGAGGGGAATTATATTGAGCCATTTTTTTTTCTTTTGAATTTATACTTTAATTTAATACATCAATTAGTTTTGAAGAGTAATAAAGAAAAGTAAATATTTTTAATTTTTGTTGAATTTAATTCGAATCCTTTGGCTACATGAATTGATTGCCCTTATACGCTTATGCACATATTTTTCATTGCGTAAGGCGTGGTAAGAGATGGTCAACTATTTCTTAATTTTTATTGCGTGCAAAACTCGTCTTTGATTAAACAAAAAATGTTCGTTGTGTATATTATCGAAAATCTGTAATGACGACAAAGGGAGACTCTAATGGTGAATGAGACGAGTTGCTAAGATAGCAATGATACAAAGGCACTACATTATAAATGAGACAAAAAGAACCTCTACATTATAAATGGTAACTACATACATTCAATTGTCTATTTGGATTCTTCTCAACACAAGGTCCTTAACACGTGAGACTACATCAAAATGTATCATTTATACAGGCGGAGAAGGCAAGGAGGGGAAAGTTTTATCCATTGGTGATTGGGACCCAAACACGTCTATGAGAAGCCTAGTAAGTGTCCAGTGGTCAGTTGGGACAACAGAAAATTACAGGCTTGGCCATCTTGGAAAAGTTGACTTGATGTACAGTAAATCAGCTATAGGGGGCTCTTACTATAAGTCACATCAACCCATTCTAGGTAGGTCTTCGTTATTATTTTAAAAAAAGACACATGACAGTGCTGTAATTGTATTGCATGTTTGACATGGAATCGAAAGAAATGTAATCAATCCAAGATAACACAATTGACACTTTAAGGTGACATTCAGAATGAATGAATTACGTCCCCTTGTTTTTGATAGTTTTGCCTTTGTGTAATGTCAGCTGAGTGGTTGGGCAGGATGTCACTTCGAGGCTACCTTGTGGCTATAGTGTAGCCTATGTGTCGGCTTGGATACTCTGTAACTTTAGTTTCCGCCCACTGCATTGTCATATGTTTTCATCAATATATTGTCCTATGGTCTCACCATACATTGTCCTATGGTTTCACCAATATATTGTCATATGGTTTCACCAATACAACGTCATATGGTCTCACCAATACATTACCACATGGTTTCACCAACACATCGTCATATGGTCTTACCAATACATTGTCCTATGGTTTCACCAATATATTGTCATATGGATTCCCCAATAAATGTTCATATGGTTTCACCAATACATTGTGATATGGTTTCACAAATACATTGTCCTATGGTTTCAATGAAAGTGCTTCACTTCATCTGATTATTCCTCATTGTCATGTGAATGAGTGTGGGGCACGTTCGTTAACGAGTCTTCTAATGGCCGAACCAGCGGCCTGCAGTCGACTAACGTCGATTCAAAGTTTCTATGCTCAACTCAAGATGGCGTCAGTTGACACTTGAGATTATCACAAGGAAAATAAAAAATAAGAGTTAATATATTATATGTTCATATATTAACTTTTGCCCACAAAATAATAAAAAAATTAATTCTTCAAATTTTTACAACGAACAATTCTAAATAATCTAAGAAATTCATCAGTTTAGTGGGTATTTTATTTATATCAGATTGTGACCTTAAGGTTTAGGACACTACTTGTACAATGCATAAACAAACAAAGGCAAGGGTCTATCACTCATAACTTGCCTCAATTTGTATCAGCTTTTAAATGATACAAAAGTAAATGTTATTCTGTACAAACTCGCAGGTAAGCCAGAGTTCACCAAATGCAAATTCAATATTGGAGATAAAGTAGAATGTTCATGTCCGATTGACAGCTTAAAAGAATTTCAGGAGAACAAAGGTGCATGGCGTCAAGAAATGAGCAGTGTAAGTGCGTGTTCACATCTCCCAGACCGTTAACGGGACCTAACCCAATGTTCATTTTAAGTACCATAGCGTAAAATAATAATAATAAGTTGAAATTGAACATTTATAGAAATATGAATCAGCATCAATGGGATAAAAAATCAATTAACTCCATTTCTTGGCTTTTCAGGTAGAGGAAGCCATTTTTTTTTAAAAATACGGACATCCTCATGTTGGGAATGAGCTCCGAAGTCTATTTGAGTTAAAATTTAAAAAAAAAATCAAATTATTATTTTATATCAGAGTAAAAAATAGTGCTTCGCTAGTGTTTGAGATGTTAAAAATACAACTTGACTCTGTATCATAAAATGATATCTTATTGATCTATTATCGCCTCAGTACATCTCATCAATCGGCACGATAGTTGCTATCAATGACGATCGGGAAGTCCAGGTGCAGTACGATGACGGTGCAAACGTATGCTTCCATCAAGATGTGCTGAGGGGTGCAAAGGTGGGCGATTGTACAGATTTTAATTTAATAACCAAATGATGTCAGATCAAATATTATTAACAGGTGATCATTTTTTAAAGTATAACTTGAACAAAAAATTAATAATATTGTTTCCTTCTGGGCCTTTCTTTTCTTGGCCGTACTTATGAGGGGGAAGAAAATATTTTTGTTTTTCTCTTTTTTGACATCATTCACAACTTAATTAATCATAGATATGTCGTTTATAATTTTTCCGTAATAGAAAACAACAGACTTAAAAATTAGTTTTTAATAGTGTAATGCTTTCGAAACGAAAAGAGCAGGGGTCCACTTGAATATCGCTCAGCCAGAAAGCCGATTATCAATTGTTACAAGCAATCAATTTGTATTACTTGATCCCTTTTTTGTTGTTAAATCTAAATTCATCTTTATATAAATATGTGTGTGCGTGTGTGTGTATTATTCGTCTTTCGATTGGTCACGTTTCACTCTTAATCAACCATTGGTTGTTGCAGCTATTGTTGATTCTGTGTGCGCGTGAGCAGAGGTTTGATGACTTATCATTCTCAGGTGTAACGAAATAAGGAGATCTCCATGTTCAGTCGTGACCAGGTTTTTTTAAAAATGTATATATTCTAAGCTAGGGGATCTGATATTTCGGTCTCACTGTAGGGACTTGGACTTCATAAAGACGATAAGCATGCTGTGTAGGTCAGTCTTGGGGGGTTAAGTCCGTGGCTGAGACCTTAATCTGCCTTTTGATTATAGGAATTTTATATGTTAGCTGTAAGGAAATGGGTTAATTTTTAAATCTGTATGACTTAAATTAATTTGAAATGTGATTAAAGGCAGATGAAATTGATTCCGCTACATCGTTGTCCACGAGTGAAGACGATGACGTAGAGAACCTTGAACTTGGCTGTCGTGTCGTCCGTGGTCCTGATTGGAAATGGGGCAATCGAGACGGGGGAGTGGGTCATGTTGGAACCGTCGTAGACATATGGAGTCAAGATGGGTCAAAAGTGACGGAAAACTGTGCTGTGGTCTTGTGGGACTCGGGCAAATCAGGAACTTACAGAGTTGGGAAGGATGAAAAATACGACCTCTGTGTTTATGACAACGCTACTATTGGTAATTTATCTTATAAATTTGAACTGATAACATTTTGTAAATACTATTTTTTTTTAAAATAATTAATTTAAAGAAAATTACACTGGAACCTCTCATAACGAGTTTAATTCGTTCCAGACTCTTACTCGTTAAACGAAACACTCGTTAAGCGAAACAATTTTCCCCATACAAATCAATGTAAAATACGATAATGCGTTCCATGCTGAAAAAATATTATTTTTCAAAAAATTTTATCAAAATTTATTCAAATAAAATTACTTATGAATTGTTAAGGAGTGTAACAACTTGGAATACAATTTAGATTTGAAACAAAAAACGTAAATAAAAATATGGATTGATGACAAATAATTAATCCTTTTTAACTAGAAAACTGTCTAAAGACATTTGTTTTTGCCGACGCTTCAAAATTTGACGAAAATGTGTCACAGCATTATCATGGAATAACTTAGTAGCACGAATAGTGCAGATCGTTGATGTTGACCGATTGTATGTGCGCGCTAGATTAGCCACGTACACACCTTGTTCTTGCTTTTCAATGATTTTACGTTTCATTTCAACAGTTATTTTTTCTCTTTTATGATTGTCTTCTTGTGTTTTTTTTTCTTGGAAGACATTTTAGCACAGGTTATTACACTTTGCACATCAAAAAAAAAATTACGAATACTTTCTGAATACAAAATTTGTAAAAACTGGTGATCACCCACGAAAACAATACACTAACAGACCGGAAGTCCCGGCTCACAAATGAATGTCATGAAAAGGGGACTTCCCCTTTCTGCGCGTTCGTTATGCGAAATGTCGCTCGTTAAGGGAGCTACGTCTTCACATTTTTTTTGTGCTCGTTATGCGAATTACTCGTTATGAGAGGTTCTCGTTATGAGAGGTTCTCGTTATGAGAGGTTCCACTGTATTAAGTCATGTGTTTTTTAAATGAAATTTTTATTTATTTTTAAATCCTTTTTATTAACTTCGCTTTTGTTCCGTGTGATTGTGACTAAATCTTCGGAAGCCTAAGTGACCCAAAACACGCCATCCTGTCGAGTTAAAACTTGGCGCATAGACACTTTGCAAATGACACCAATTTATATCAAATTTTCAGCCCCGCGCCCAACCCCCGAAAAATCATTTCCCCCCTCCCCCCCAACCCCAATTGGAAGATGAATGAAGAATGATTTGTTCAATGGGTGCATGTTTTGGTGTGGAAATTAATTGTGCAGCTCTTGCTTTCTGCTTTGTATTTGTAACGCATTTGGGTATAAATCTATCTTTTTTTCTCCTAGGTTTTTCAAGCAGTTTGCTAAAAACTATTCGCATACCAAAAATCAGTTGCTAAAACCACAATAAATGACAAATCACTTTGACAAATGACAAATGACAAAAAGGCAACCAAAAAAAAAATGCCTTTAAAGTATTTATAAGGGGGAAAAACCGTTGTTTTCAAAGGGGTCGTTTATTTATGCTCAAACATTATCATGACATGGGCGTTGATGCAATTTTATAAATTGACGTCATACGTCGTAAAGAACAATCGAAAAAAAAAATCACGATTATTTCACGAGACAATCTTTCTGTACTAAAGTTTAAGACAACATAAAGGTTTCAAATTTTTCAATTCTAATGGCACGACTTTGTATAGTCTCCATTTTTATTTGTTTTATTTGTTTTTGTTTTGATCTGTTTGTTTTTTGTTTTTTTTGGTTCTTTTTTAGTGATTACTGCTGGTTTTTTTTACTCTAAGATTATTCTTCAAAAACATTTTTTTCAACATTTGTCATTGTCATTTTAAAAACCATTGACTAAACGACTATTAAATACCAGTATGCATAAAGCTAAAGATCAGCTTATAATACATAATTATTTTAACATTTTGTTTTAAAAGCTCTTACTTATAGAGATGCAATAATTAGCTCTCCGATAAAGCCCAAAATCTTTTAAAGACACAGACTACGCCGTAATGACATGAAGCAATGATATTTTTAATAAATTTAATTTGAAACTATAAAAGTTCTTATATTAACATAGAGTGTAATTTGTTTTTCAATTTTAATTGTTTACAGAATGCAAATATCGCTAGTTAAATGAAACTAAACAATAACATATTCTTGCCTTTCTTTGCTAATTTTTTTTGTTCACTTGACCTTTTATTTTAATACAATGTATGTTTATTAATGTACTATTAGGTCATTAAATCAAATTCTGCTCTTGCTTCAATCACGTAGGCATCCGTCATCCGACAACAACGTGTGATGGATGCAACCACAGCGGCATCCGGGGAATTCGCTGGAAGTGCCTTGATTGTTTCGACTACGATCTGTGCACTGCGTGCTACGGCTCGGACAAGCACGACACACGCCATACGTTTTGGAGGATCGACAGGGCGTCATCAAAACGGTAAAATACAGCATCGTTTAAATACACTTTCGCTCTCTATTTGGTATTGGTTAATTTTCATTTCTTCCAATTTTACAGTTTATTTATTTTAGGTTTTTATTTTCGCGATTTAATTTTATGTATTTGTTTCTTTTCTTTAACAAAAAAAAAAGGTTAGTACTAGAAATTGTCTCATTCAATCTTACCCTAAAAAAGCTAAATTCTAGGTTTAATTTCTATTTAGTCTTTCTATCAAATCTAATTAAATGAAATATCCAATTACAGAATGTAAGAAATATGATACATTTTGACGTCAATTGTGGGTTCCAGACAAGCGTATACAATTTAATTACAAAGAACATCGAAATAATTGTCATTCTCATTAAAGATCAAGTCGTTTTTCATGGAAAATGTATCATGGGTTTATTGTTCATGTCACGAATCAATAACTTCAGTAATCATATTGTCGTCCTTCCAGCATGGACTAATCATATCGGTACCGTCCTAGCAGAGTGTAAATATATTGTCAAAATTTGATGTAGAGAAGCACACTATTGTAAAATGTTCATAAGAGTAAACTTTGTTGTAATAATAATAAAAAAAAACAACTTTGCTTGTGTTGAGCTGCGGTCTGTCCTTAAGACCCAACAATTGACACAACCTTGAAAATCTAAATCCCGACATTTGAAAATACACGGAATTATTATTATTATTTGTATTTTTTCGGAGTGGTGTAGGGTTATACTTTCTTTGACGCCCTACCCCATTCATAGTCCAGTTAGAATATTGAACGGTGGCTACACCTTAAAGAAACGTGTTTTCGTTATTCATTTACGGATAGATGAAACAAAAGGTCAGCCACACTTTTATGCAAGCCTAATATAATGGTTCACCGCTTGTGAAATTTACATGCTATTCGTCATCGCATGAGATAAACCTGGTAATATAAATAAATGCCAATAAAATGCAATGGTTGAAAAACGTTAACATTTCTCTGTATTTTATAGCGTAAAATTACCCAGGCGATGTGAAGGTGAAAAACTCCAAGCACAGGGGATATTTGCCGATGCAGGCGTGTGCCGTGTCCAAGACTGGGATGAGGATGACCAGGAGGGTCGGTAGCGCTCTAGCCTATTTCATTTGTTTGTGTAAAACAACTCAGTTGACACCAGAGATGAACTCATTGCTACTGTAAACATTTTAAGTAACGTGTGTCTGGCACTGGTCGTGTTTTTGCTTAAGCTGAGCTTTTTTTTTTTTGTCAATGCTTTTTTCTCCGTACAACGGCCTGGAGTGCGGAGATCTTCAGACTCCATATTGTGCTTTTAAACAAATTTTAAAAAAAACATTGCTCAGATTCCTTAATTAATTCATAAACTGTAATCTTCTTATAAACTCAAACTTCACTTACTGGAAATTTGTTGAGAGAAGGGAATTAACGAAATAATAACTGAAATATGGACTTAAAAAAATGGTATTGATGAAATCATAAAATAAAACTTCAGAAATGTTTATTGTTTTTAAAAAGCTAATTTACTGTGTTTATTTTTAGAAGCCGAATCGAAGGAAGGACGAGTGTTGACAATCGGAGACTGGCCCCTCCAGAATGTTTCATTCAACAGCCTTGCAACTGTCAAGTGGTCAGATGGCACGGAAAGCAACTGCAGACTTGGCTATGGGGGGAAAGTAGATCTAAAATTCATTAAGTCCTCTTTTGGCCAAGTCTACTATAAAGACCACCTGCCGGTTTTAGGTCTGTTTCAAATGTTAACACACTAAATTATTTTTTTTTAAATGTGGGAAATTGTATTTGCTGTCTCTTGTAATTGGGTCATTGCTTCTTGTTGTTTAAATTCCTATTTGTTGTCAATGATAAACCTGTAACATATTTACATTGAGGATTCCTTGAAACCCATTTTTAACTGTACATCATTGAAGTGTGTCAGGCAATAAAGGAGATACTAAACATCAAACAATTTACGAAGAACATTATGAAAGCAGGTTTAGGCATGGGCATGTGTATCAGATTCAAGCAACTGCAACATTAAGAAACTATCATTCATGTTCCAAGCTGAAAAAACGTATGTCTAAAATATTAGCATCTTCACGAATGCTTGTAATTTTACCAATTGTTTTGGTGACAATTAGTATAGAAGGATTCCATATTATTTAAAAATATTTTTTTAAAAAAAGGTTTCATATCTCACTGAGGTACAACAAAACAAATATTGAAGAGGTCACTTGTTCGAGGAGAGAAACTATCAAAATTATGCATTTTACCTACAGGAAAACCTGAGGTTTCCGAATGCAAATTTGACATTGGTGACGTGGTGTCCTGCTGGTGCGATAGTGCCACGGTGAGGCGACTTCAGGAAAACCACGGAGGATGGACTGAAGAGATGAGCAGCGTAAGTGCTCGTCGCGTTGTCGTATGACATAAAAAAAAAAAACGGACTGATGGATTGCTCATAGCATTTTTTAAAATGATGAGTGGAAACATTTTCTTGGGGGTGGACTTACTATGAGCAAAGAATGTGAATTAATAAATAGTAAATTCTTTTTTAATGTGTGTTTTGGAGTGGTGTGTGTGGTGAGATAAATAATAGCGATTTGAATCTAAATTTTGCAAATTCATATTTAAAAATAAATATTATAAATAGCTATAATTGTTTTACTTCTAAAGATTTTTCAAATTTAAATTTAAAAAAAAATCTGTTTTAAAATTGCCATGTAGGGTACGTCCACATTTTTTTTAAAACAGAGTAGCTTGCCCGTGGTTGTCGCCAACTTTTATCAATTTGGTTTAGTTCCAAACTCATGTTTGTTGTTTCTAAACTTGATTCCGGCCAGTTAAGTAGGGCTAATTACAAAAGATCCAATAATATAGTTTTTAAATTAAAATTAAAAAATTTACTCCGAATAATTTCTTTCCGCCAAGACGTCATCCGATCCATGTTTACTCAGCCAAGCCATGACAACCACAAAAATATGAAAGCGGAAATTATATACACCAAGCCATTATGATGTTAATTCTTCGAAATTATAGGTTTTTTTTTCCCTTTGTGATCGAAACCCCATAGACCAATCACACAACAAAAAAATTTATTATAAGTGCGACTTTTTGGCACCGGAAGAGCCTTCGCGTAGGTCATGCAAACTTAGCAACTCGCGGGGGAGGGGGGTGCGTTCGGATATTTAAGGGTCCAAAAATTGTTAAAAAATAACACTTGAGAAGGCAGGGAGTAGAAAAACAAAAAGTAGCAGGGATCCCCATAATCCACGGGATGACTCTGCTCAGCTGCTTTATTTTCTTTACTGATTAAGATACTCAAACACTCCTGATTAGGAACCATGTTCAGGTATTTTGACGCTTAACTGATAGAGTTGCGTCATACTGAAAAGAGAACCATTGGTTTCAATGTGTTAAAAACTGAATTTAAAAAAAATATTTTTTTCAATGAACTATCATTTGTTTGAATGGTTGTTGTACACCGTCATATTACTGGCCGAATGAATTGATTTTACTTCGCCAACAGTACACGAGCTTAACAGGGACTGTGGTCGACATTGACGATGATTGTGACGTGAGTGTACAGTATGCCGATGGTAATGAATGGTGGTACAATCCAGATGTGCTAGGCCTGGTAAACAATCATTAATAATAACGTGTAAACTAATTACCAAAAAAAAAATGTTTCAAAATGTGATGTTTTTAATTTAACGCTTTATATATTAATACATAAAAGTTAATGTATTAATGAGTTACGATGAATTTTTATAAATAATAAAAAATAATATTTATGCTTGCGTTGTTAATGCCCTATGAGGTTTTCGTCCATATTGAGTTTAAACTTGCCTGTTGTAACTGAACAAACGTAAATTAAAGAAAATCACATGCAATTCCCGTGTTCTTACCAGGTAACACCAGAATGTTCGCCTGGAGACCCAATGCACAGTGCCGTCGTCAGACAAGCCCTTGACATGGACATCCCAAAAGACCTGGTCGAAAGCTGTGTGAAAAAGCGGCTGGAGGAAAATCAAGGAGAATTCGCCAGCATCGAGTCGCTGATGGAGGCCGTTTTCAGCATGAACGTAACTGAATCAGCTCCTTCTCTGAAGATCGCGTCGTCTGCGACTACAACGCGTGAGAAACTGGCCGAAGAGATACAAAAGCTTAGAGACGAGCGACTGTGCAAGATCTGCATGGAGGAAGACGCCTGTGCTACGTTCGTGCCTTGCGGACACCTTGCGTGCTGCTTTGAATGCGGCCTAGCACTGGAAGTCTGCCTAATCTGTCGTAGTCGCATCCAAAGTTGTGTGAGAACTTACATATCATGAACAGTTTGAAGCGTTTCCAAAAGTATTTTATTTGTCTCAATTTAATACGTTTTTCCTTTTTAAACTTTGTTAATGGATGTCACATTTTTAATTTTTTAATTTTTTGTGTGTGTTTAAGTTAATAATTTATCAATTTAATTAACTAATATATACTCGGATGTTATATTTTAAAATATATTTGTGCCAATGCATAGTTAAAGCATCAATACATTTAAAAAGCATGACAAATTAAAATAATACTCCGGCAAATAAAAGAGAAAAAAAAAGTGCAATTAAGATGTTACTTTCCTAACTGTTCTACAATCTTCATCTTACCATAGCAAAGGTTTTGAGGAAAACATTTGAATAGAAAAAGACATTCAGAAAGACATGTGTGATAGCGGGAGATGTATATCTATTTTTCTGGACAGGAATATTATGAAGAATCGAAGTAAAGACGGGAGAGTCATAGGTTGGGAAAGAATGTATACGTATAAATTAAACGTTATCGAGTGTGTTTGTCTTTTCCTGTCGTTTGTCAATCAATTGTGATTAAAACGCAATAAAAACAAACAAAAGAACAAAAAAAATAATAAATACATTTTCTTAAACTTTTTTTTTTTTTATATTAAAAAATGAAATAATTTCATCCAAGAAAAGTTAAATTATGATCAATTTAAAATTGAAAGCAATATTTAATGTCCATTCCCCAAACATTTGTGCCCTATGTCAAAATACGTTGTTTTAATTGTTCAAATAAATTTATGCAGTTAAATAGTGTGCACTATATATTTTATATATATATATATATATTGTGTAATATATATTTTATATATATATATATATATATATATATATATATATATATATATATATATTATATTATATATATATATATAAATGTATGTATGTATATACTGTAAAATGGCAATATAAAGTTATAAAATCATGTTTAAATTATTATATTATATATATATATATAAATGTATGTATGTATATACTGTAAAATGGCAATATAAAGTTATAAAATCATGTTTAAAAATGTATTCTGTTATTTATTTTATTTATTGTTCGTTTGCGACCGTCGGATGGCATAAGATTAAATAAGAGAACATGAGATCAAATAAGATCAAATAAGATCTAATGAGATCGTCGTTCAAGAGGAATAGATCATTGGGGATTAATAGTGTACTTGTTAATAGAGAGTAATTCAAGGGTCTTTGACAAGATTCATGTGAAAGGAGTGTGTGGAGGAAATGTGTGTGTGTGTGAGGGGGTTGTTTTTTTAGTTGAGATTGGTGATGTTGAGTAGTATTCGTTGCGTTAAAGAGGAAAGGATGTTAGGTCTTTAGAGGTTTAACAGCAGTAGGAAAAGTGAGGCTTATCCGGAGCTGACAAAGAGATGTCAGGTGGATAGGTAGACGTATCCCAGTCGTATTTATGTGCAGAGATACATTCTAAGAAAAAAATTAATGTTCTGACAAAAATGACATTTAAAAAAAAACAAACTCGTAGATCGCTGTTAACAAGATTTACATCATTACGTAATTTAACGACCCAAGGAAATTATAATTTTATGTGCCGAAAATTCAAGATCATAAGAAATTAATTTGTGAGTACGACTACCCAAGAATCGACTACCCAAGAAAAGACTCCCTTAAAATAGCATTACTGGTAAATTGAGATCATTTTTTTTTTAGAAGATCGAATATTGAATGCAAGACAATGAGTAAAAAAAAGTGCACTTTTAACGTATATGCGCTTCATTAAGAAACGATTTTCGTTTTATTGTAACAGTCAACAAACCAGATATTTTCATACCCCACTATCCACTTCCCCCTTATTCCACACCTCTGGACAAGTAGAATTTATTTAAAAAAAACAGTAAAAAAAACTAAAATCAAAATGCAGAAGTACTATATTATTTGACCAACGTCTTCAGTTGCTCATTTTTTGTTGTTGTGTTTTTGCGTGTGATAAATACCAGATGTCTAATCAGCATGTACGTGACAGTACAAAGTCTTATCTCTAAAAGATATAGTCTCTTTAGCTATTGCTTTAAGGACAAATCGTTTAAAGAAAGAGATTATGGAATGTATTAAGCGTTCCATGAATTCGTTTCAATCGTTTTAAAGAAAACGCAACAAACTTTACCACCAAGACATCATTTAAACCACGTCTCCCTGTGCCGTTATTTTACCGATAAAATATTCCGATTGATATATAATCAAACATTATGACTAATGTGAAATGCTTTCATGTCGGATAAAAAACAGACGTTATATTTTAGTACAAACACAAAATGTTTCTCAATTTGTAGCGTTGGTAAGAAACATTCAGTAACACGCTAAATCTTTTACGGGTTTTTTTTTTTAAACGCTGTTTTTGTAGGCCAATCTTATCAAGGTTTTCTTCCTCATTTGGTTGACCTTGAGATCCCTAATAAAAACTCAATGCTACCTTTGATGCATTTACTGGGGCCACCATAGTCCAAGATGAAGACTAAAGTTCATTTAATCCAATTTCTGAGAGCTTGTGTCTTACTGCTTGTTTACATTCAGGTTGGTTAATCTAAGGAAAAACTATATTTACATTTTCCCATTTGTTATATTTAAAAAAAAGAAATCCACAATTGAGTGGATACTTGTGTAAAATAAATTAATAGCTACTATAAACTATAAAGACACGAAACGTAATTACGGTTTAGAAATGAAGAAAATGGTCTCAATGTCAGACATTAAAGATGGGAGCGGTCAGAGGGGTTCTCGACTTTTGGTAACTGAAGAGCTAAGCTCCCAGTGTGTCTCTTTTTATAATTCTCTCCAGATCCCGTAAATAGAGAACAACGCATTATGGTGAACAGAGTGTTCTTGTTGCAGCAAACATTTGGTGGTTTCGTGATCTCTTTATAATTAATGGTGGTTGTCAAAATAAATTAATTTAAGCGCTACAGAAACGATCTGGTCACTATTGCAACTAAATACATCTTCTCTTTCCTTTTTTTGCCACATGGAACAATTCATTTCCGTGGTCGATTTTGGAATAATCAGGTATATTTGAATCCACATTTAGAAACAGCCCCCCCCCCCACACCCCCATAAACATCGGGTGATTAGTCCTTCTCAAGTCGACGGAAACATTTCGGATTTAAATATGTGTCAACATTCTAGATTTTTTCGCACTAATCTTTTTAATAAGAAATAGATGAGACGCCCATTCTTTGTACAATAAGAAATAGATGAGACGCCCATTCTTTGTACAATAAGAAATAGATGAGACGCCCATTCTTTGTACAATAAGAAATAGATGAGACGCCCATTCTTTGTACAATAAGAAATAGATGAGACGCCCATTCTTTGTGCACGCGCATTTGAATTTCTCACGCAACTTTTTTTTTTTTTGTTTTTTTTTTTTTTTTTTTTATTTTTTTTTTTTTTTTTTTTTTTTTTTTTTTTTTTGTTTTTTTTTTGTTTTGTTTTAAAAACAGTAAATCTTTGATTAAATTAATCTTTTAAAGTTTTTTGAAAAGGCATTTTTTTTTTAAAGCAATTATTGTGATGTAGATGAAGCTTATTTTCTTTCAATTCATAGATGTGCCATTGTATTTATTTGTAATAATGATTGTAAAATATAAATCAATCTGAATTTAATGAAGGGTTTCGCCAAAGTTGACCCATTTCCTCTTTAAATTCATCTTGGGCCATAGAGCGCCATTGGAGGTGGGACAATTGAAATGCAATTCATCTACTATCAGGACGATTGCACAGAAAGACTCGGCTACTGCGACACTCTGTTCTATTTTAATCTTGGTAATGACAGGTAAGATTTAAACTATAAGTCACCAGGATTAAATAGTTTCAAATATGTTACTAAAGCTGTCATTCATCCATGAGCAAAAATATATTTTTTTTTACGATAATTTTTCTTTGTTAAATTAGAATTTCTTTAATGAAATAATAACGTAGCTTTGTTCTAGTTCAGCGGCTCTCAAAATGTCTCCGTTAACCGCCCTTTAGAAACGCCACCAAAAGGAGCGTTCCTAAGAACGCCGGTACTGCGTAACACGTACTGCATCGTTGCAGTCACGCACCCTCAGTATGTATCTACTAGATCCCTTTTCTTTCCAGGTGCAGCAACTGCTATGGTCATTTCAACCCAAAGGAATCAGATTATTTCGATGCCCACTATATTAACATGTTGAGTCTAAGCAGCATTAAGGGGCTACCGAATCCGTGGATTGTTCACGTTTCAAAATTCGAGGTGAGCGTTAGCGTTGAAACATCCAGTTCAGAAACTCTTGTGGTTCTTGACAATTGATGCCACTCATCGATTTTCATACTTTTTTTTCTAATCATTAAATAATGATGAATCGACGAATTCAACGGTTTAATAGTCGGACGAAAGCAACATTTTACAAATATAATCGACGGTAATTATCATAGAATAAAACAACCCCTAAAAAAAAATGTACGCGTATACATTCTCGTATACATTCTCGTATACATTCTCGTAAACATTTTTTATATCAGTGGGAGTGGGTCAGTTAGCCTTCCCCAAATTTTGTCACAAAGAATGAACGATCAAAAACGAATTTTTGGATTTGGGTTGGGAATGGGGCTGAAAATTTGACTGACTATGTTGTCTTCGGCAACGAGTTCATGTGCCAAGTTTTAGCTCAAATGGATGACGGGAAGTGGGTCAATTAACCTTCTGAATATTTTGCCACCACAAAGATTGAAGGAAGCACGAACAAATGCAAAGTCAATATAAATGATTTATAAAGAATCTATCATCAAATCGTTCCCTGTTGGCATTACAATAAAATGTGTCAGCGCTATAAACTAAAATAGATAATTTTATAATTCATATTATTCTAACATCGAAATGATTTAAACCAATAACTAATATAGTTAACGAGTGATCGTATTGTAATTTTTTTTTTCCCCGATGCATACTGCGCTGCTGACGTGAGTTCCTCAGTTGACGGTGCTGGGCAAGTTTTCATGTAATTTACAACCGTG